TGCATACAATATTTTTTCAAACCAGAGGCCTCTTTCAGCACATACTTGAGGGTCAACACTGGCTAGGAACACTGATCTAAGGTTAGCTTTGAGGTTTTCACCTAATTGCTAGGCTCTTTTTGTATTCAGGGGGAAGGTATGCTGCTCCAAACATTCGATGCCAGACCTCACAGTTGGCATTTTGGAGATGTTAAAATCTGCATGTGTGAAACTGTGTGTGAGAGCACTTTTAATCGGGTTCTTTGGTGGACTACTGAAGACAACCTACCATATATCCAACTGAAAGTTAAAACCAATTGGAGATGATCTGAGTAAGGAAGACTATACATGTATGAAAATACATTTATGCTTGAGTATTTTACTCCTTCAGCAAGAGAAAAATGCAGTTAAACCTACCTACTTGTTGACTGAGCTTGTTCATGCTGCTTTGGTTAATCTAGACTTGGATTTTTGATTAAATATCTTCTCCAGATGAAAATTCTTAAATTTGGTACACATTTATAGTATCTTTTCACCTTTCTAATTAGATGCCACTTTATGCATTTTTTTTTTACTTTTTTTGCATATTTTAAGACTTCATCCATATGCTCCTTACCTGCCAGTGCATAAATAAAAAGGCAAAGTGCATGTAAAAGGTTAAAACCTTTTTTTTCCACAGTATAGCATTTTCTATTTTCAGAACATTTTCTGACCTCTGAAGAGACCGAAGAGAGATACAGCTAAGTGGTTTTCCATGTCCAGCAGAGTACTTACCTGAAATTAGACAACTTCAGTTTCTCTGCTTTAGCCTAGAACTTTCACAGGAGAACCATACTACTAAAAACAGATCATATTTCAGTGTTATTTTGTGCTCAAACTAATTTTAAATGGATATTTTGCTTTGATTGCTTTGTATTGTGTGAGTTCAAAACACTTTGTTTAGTGGAATTTCTTTTCTATAAATAGTCATTAAAGCCTTGACATGTGGGATTTTCCTGTGTAACAGAGTATTTGTAGTACTAACCTCCAGCTGCATATTTTCTGAAGAAATAAAGTCAGTGTGGTGATTCTAATGGTTTCCTAAAGATCTTTTTCTATGCTTTGCCTCAGTAGCTGGGAAGATGAATGCATTGCATATGCTTATTATCATCAAAGCCTACTAAAGGTTCAAAGTACTGACTACCGAGATTTTTGTTGGATTTACAATGGACACATGATTGTGCAGAAAAATACATTGCAGACACTCTTTAGCAGGTCTCTGTGGTTCACATTTGCAATTCTTTTATGCGATGCTAAGTCAACCTTCTACAAAGGATTAGCCATCTTTTTTTTTTTCAATGCAGTATTAAAGATGAGCGGTATTTACCTTTTTCCTCAGAGAGCGTGCTGTGTGGCAATACAATGGAAACAGGATATCGACCATGAAGCTGCATCTCTTTACCTCCTGGGGAATCAGCTTAAGATTTATGGATTCAATTGGGTGAAAAAGCAACAATATGTGTGTTTTATTCTTCAAAGTATGTTGGCGTATTAGTGACTGCATGGTTTAAAAGGGATTTTATTATGATTATAGTGATCAAATACCTCACTACATATTTTTATAGTTATCAGGCAGAATTTTTGATCTTGTCAAAACTAAGTCAAACAGCAGCAATCTTTTTGGAATCTTAATAGTGCCCCAGTCAAGGCGTCTGATCTTCGTGAGCTAGAGCGATCTATTGAAATTTAGCAAAGCAGCTGCAAGTATGTGTAGTTGGAGGAGTTTGATGCTAATTGTTGCGGATAGAAAGCATATGTGCACTGCAAACCTAAAGGTTATAAACCATCATGATATAACGGGGGAAAAAAATCTCTACTACAAATGTCAGGGTGGATTTGTTACAACAGCAATAAAGCTTTGGTCTTCATTCTTTTTCCCCTTTATCCTCCCTACATCCATTCAGTTGCTACATCCATTCGGTCTTTACATATCCTACTATATTTAATCAGAAGTGGATTCATACTCCCAGGATCCTTTGTCATTTGGTATACAGTTCTGTGTCTGGCACTGTAAATAACCTGAAATATGTTTTTTGGTGCATAAGCATGCCAAAGCTTTTGTGTACTGTTGCACAGACCAATTAGAGAGGCCTTTTCTAAATTTAGATAAATACCATTAGACATTTGTATTTGTTTTGTTACAACAGATGCTTTGTTACAGGATTAGGTCGTAACTTGGCTAGTTGGCAGCTCCGCTGCAGACTAAAAGCAGAAATTGTTGCCATTCTGTAAACAATAAAGTTAACAAATAAGCTTCTCAAAGAGAAAAGTATTAATCCACTTACATGAATATCAATCAATCTCAAAACAGCCTTAAAATCCATGAACCAGTATGATAATTTCAAAGTATAATATTGACTGTTACTGTTACTCTGCTATAGTTGTACTTTTATGAACAAGAGATTGCACCTATTTTTCAGCGCCGTCTGACTAACCAGAGTCTCAGGATTTCAAATTTTGAGATTTTTTTCTTTTATCCTTTCTTACAATTTTACATGTTTAAATTGTGAACAATGTAGCTATATATGCAAAACAGAACAAGTAATTTTTTAATTACTGAGGCATTAAAACTTAACTGAGTTTGTACACCCGACAAACTGATCAGTGTCCTATTTTAACCGTGACCAGATTTTTACCTCAGTAAAATAATGACCACAACATAGTCTGGCGATGAGACAATATTTACTATCACTATATCAACATCTATAGTGTGAGTAGTGTGAGGAGCTCCTAAATCTGAAGTAGTGTTTTCACTGTAACACATCTTCCCTCACATTACCCTGACAACATTCAAAATAATTAGAGACTGTGGGTCTGTGGTTTACTTAACAAGATTAACTCCCCCTGTTGTCATTTTATGTTATCAGACCAGATTACATCCAAATCAATATTGTGATGTTACTTAGCAGATGTGCTCCTAAAGAGTCTTTTGAGGGTTCTCAATGATCTCTTGGCTTTTTTAAAATTACTGTTGCTTTACATCAAGTGTCTTGTTGCACAAGTGTAGAAAAAAATTTAGTTTTAAAAACTAGTGATAGTATCTTTGTGCCTGTCTGAGTATGCGTGTCTCTGGGATTATGTTAAACACTGTTTGGACAGGCTTATTGAGGGCCAGTAGGAACTAGTTTGGCAGTGTGTTATTAGATGTGGTTGTTTTGGTGCTCTGATGCCAAATTACAGTTAGAGGAAATGAAACATCACACTAATGAGATTTCACACAGTTAATTTAGTCTGAGCTGCAAATTCTCCATCATTATTAGATTGATAGATTATTTTCATTCTTTAATTTAGGGAGAATCTTATGAATAAATCTGTCCATAGTATTTTATCACATTTCAAAGATAATGAATTAATTGTTTCAGGTTTCTAAGACTTTGTTCATAGAAATTAGTGGCAGAGCAAGTTGTTCATCTAAATGGTAAGTTTACAGCTAAATAACAAGGAATGCTGAGTGAAGATGCTAATATGATGCAATAATCTAAATATTCGACTGCTTCATTCCTTTTTTTTTCTTTTTTTTTTACTTAGGAAGGACTTTAGATTATTGCTGGCCAATCATTTCTACAGAGACAATGCTTGAATAATTACAGGTTTTCATAGTTATTTCTGTATGCCAAAACAATTTATCCAATTTTATTTAAATATGTTAAAGTGTGCTGAACAACTAAGACTACATGACCAGGACTGTGACTATTGCTATGATTCTGGATGCTTCGATTTACAAAGCATATGTATTTAGACCATTGTTTGTTTTTTTTGCCATTTACTGGATTGAAAATGTGACTTGAGTTCAATAAACATTGTGTATTCACGATTTTATGGAAACAGAGAGACTTTGTAAAATCTCAGATATTTTTAGGGGTTTGTAAAATCATCGAGCAAGCCTAGTTTTCTTTAAAAGTAAGGTAGGTAGGTATCATCCATATTTTACGTAATTAGCTGTTGAAAACATTATGCAACAAAAACCTGATAGATGCAGCAATATACTTTTCAAATAAAAACCTGGGATTTTGCAATAACAAGTGGAGCAACCACATATAATAGATGACACTTATGTCACATGAACTCTGCTGCCCGAAATATGCTTTAATTGGATTCTCAAAGGCTAACAGTCACTGCGAGAAAACTGGGTCTCGTAACAGGGGATGAAAGGGATGGAGACACTTGTTTCCAGGGCAACGGAAACAATGGGTTTAAGCTAAGGTTCATCAGATGTTCATTAGAGAAAAGCGATTTTATTTTCATTTTAATGGTGTTCAATTTTGTCAAATGGCCGGTACTTTTTAATTCTCTGTGAATCTGACGAGTCTCATCGCCAGACTATGTTGTGGTCATTATCTTACTGAGGTAAAAATCTGGTCACGGTTAAAATAGGACACTGATCAGTGTGTCGGGTGTACAAACTCAGTTAAGTTTTTTTAATTGCTCATTCTCTGTTTCATTTCTCACAGCTTGCAGTTACTTATCTTAAGATCCTATTTCTTGTAAAGTGAAGAGAATATTATGTTGATTGTTCGAGACTCAGCTGTGTGTGATTTACCCCAGATGTCGGAGTTGCGAATGACATCACACCCAATTACACTGTTCTGTTCAAAAAATGGGATTTTCTCATTCTTTGGGCGCTAACTACTGGAAATAAATGCTGCTAATAATATACTAATCATTTTCAATTACATATGCATTAAAATAGCACAGAAAAAATGTTGTCAAATAACAATTTCATAGCACTATGTGTTTTAATGTATCTGATTTATTAGGATACAAATAATCAAATGCACTAATAAAGAATAATGTCCTTATTTACTAAATTATGTTTGCCCTTCTGCCATATTTTACACAAGTCTAATATGACACAAGACAAAAAGTCAGACTTTGGAAAAGTTAAGACACTCCACCATTAATGTGGATAAACTGGACCAGCCCTTAACTGCACATGAACTGTTAGTTTTCACCTGCTAACTATTGTGCTGTTGTTCTCCCAGGGTGCCCACTTGGCCATGATCGACACTCTGATGATGGCGTACACAGTAGAGACGGTAAATGTGGAGAAGGTAATGGCTTGCACTCATCAGTATTCATCCGGCGACTCTGAGGAGGAAAGACCATATGATATAGAGGACGCTGTGACCACCTGGATTAACAAGGTTTGGTCTTGTTTTTCTGTTGCAGTTAAAGGCTTTAATCCCTGAAATTATATTAATTCCAATGTCTAGAATTGTATCTGCTTATCCATACAAAATGTAGGTTACTGTTTGTTTAACAGAAAATAAAACATTTCTCAATTAAAAACTAAAACTTGTATTAGACTGACTGACGGAACTTAACATAAATACATTACCTTGGGAAAATATTCACACCCTTTAAAATCTTTCACATTTTGTCACATCAGTGTGTAACAACCTGCAGTATATTGAAATTTTATGTGGCAGTTCAACACAAGATACATGATTGTGGATTTTTTTTTCTCTCTCTTTTTCCTTCCAGTTTGCTGCAAGTCTTTCTGTAAACTGGGACTTGCATTGTTTATTATCCCCTGTAGTCTGGTACTGCTAAATAAATTTCAGTTCAAACAATTGTTTTCAGAAGACATCAATTCAATAAACAGAGTCCGTCTGTGTATGATTAAATCTCAGTATAGACACAGCTATTTTTTGAGGGCCTTTCTCAAAAAATAATGTCCTTCAGCTGAAGGACATTATGAATAGTGTTGGTGGCTGAACATCTGCACTGACAAGCAAGTACAACATTAATCACAGAAGTAGTTTGCAGTATCATCGTAACTCTGGGGGAGTAAGTTTGTCACTCTATTTGTAAAAACTTTGACGCCATGTTTTATTTGCATTACTGTTGGCAATTATGCACTACTTTATATTAGCCTGTCATGAATTTCAAATAAACAACTTTGAAGGTCGTGTTTGTAAAAGATTTCAGAGGTATGAATACATTTGCAAGGCACTGTTGTTACAGCATAAACCTCTCTGTAAAAGAACACAGCTTATTATCTATCTAGACTTGTAAGACAGGACTGAGGAACACGCAGGGACTCATTTTAGATGATAAAACAAAAGGGCAACATAAATTTGGAACTTCTAACTGAACCAAACAGGATATGGGCTTATGTCAATCTAAACCAGTTATCTCTACAAATGACATTCACACTGTTGCTTGTGGAAATGGATAACTCAACAAACACTCTGCTCATCTGGCATTTATGATATAAAATGGGTAAACAAAATCAGTTTCTCACAAAAAGCCCTCTCAGTGTCCTATATGAATTTGCAAAAAGCCACTTAATAGCTTGAAAACAAAACATTCTTCTAGTAGCAAAGGAATAATTTAACACTATGCTATTACAACAAATATAACATGAGATTTGAACCTGCACTACTTATAAATCAAATCAGCTGTTAATATATTTCTCCCATCCACATAAATTGCAACATGGTTGCTTTTGCAGGGCTGCATGCACAGATGGCTCGCAGACGCACTGGAGCAGAATCCAGTCAGACTCTGTTTACATTCTTCTAGCTGCAGCTCTGGAGGGCTTCCAGATCTGGGCTTCCAACACACTCAGAGCAGACAAAGCGTTGCAGGAGGTGTGGTCATGGTCTCCCGCTAGAAAGGCATATGGCTCCCCGTTGGAATACTCACTACTTCCACAGCGTGCAGTTTATAGCACACTGAATTAAAACAAGTAAAATCAAATCCTCTGTGTTTTGCAATGTAAAACCATCATTGTTTAATTTATTTAATCACTTGGAGCTGCTTTTTACATTCTCAAAGATGTTGTTTCTTTCTTTGATAATAGAGTATTATTTTTTTTCCTCCCCCTTTAGGTAAATGAGTATCTGAAAGACGTTGCTCAGGAACAGAAGAAGAAGGAGACACAGAGTGCTGAGCAGACTGGGAGTCCTAGGGTGGGTGTTTTCTTTTGACTTTTGTCATCTAGCTGTAACACTTCACACACTGCATATACTGTACACTGTGTGATGGACACATTCAATTGAGCTGAGTGAAATCCTTGGCTCCGAGTAATGGATTTACCACAGCATTTCTCTTTGACTGGCACTTATTTTTCCCAGACCTCTGTGTTACTACAGTATCTCAGACAAGTTTCTTGGCTGTGTGAAGCTGTTTAAACTCAGCCAGCATCAGAAAAAATCGCATTCAGATATTTTTGTTTCACTGTTGGTTTAATGAATATCAAACCGAGAGATTAGATATTAAAGGCATTGATGTTTACCCACTCATCTTTTGAATGTTTGTCAGAGGGTCAGGACTATCCAGTCTAATAAGATAAGCAGTTATTTAGTCTTGGTTGAACCTTGTTCAGGATTCGCCCGCAGTCACAGATCGCTTATGTAACTTTCTCCAGAATCAGTGCTTATTTTTCATACTCTAAGACACGGAGGTGATGCCTATGTTTTTTATTTTTTTTTATGTATAACTGAAATAGTCTCTGTATTCTGCCTGTTTGAGTCTGTTTACCAAAACAGTTTCTTACCCATTGAGTATTGCAAGAACTCATTAATGCTCGACATATATCACAATGAGCATTTCATTCTTTAGATAACATGCATTGACAGAAATGTGCACAAAAAGTTGTATTGCATTTGATGTTCATACAGATTACAACTGTATGCTGTTTTAAAAGCACTATTCTCTAATTTGCAAAACAATTAAATTAAATATATATTCAGGTGACTGGTCAATTAAAACAGCTATAATTATAGTATTTTTTTAAGGTCCGCATCATTTAGATAACTGAAACTATGTGATGGAAATAGACAATTTAGGCATAGTAACAGCTTCTTTCATATTCATTTACATCCTTATTGCAGTAAATACCACAACATATGATAAAATTTAAGTTCAAATTATATTGCATGCAAGAACTTTTTTTTTTAATTATTATTTTTTTCATTATTTTTTTCATTATTATTATTATTTCCATGACCGATGAGTGATGCTAACGTACTCCTCTGTAAAATTGGATTCAAGTTTCTCCATAGTGCAGCTGTTTGTAAGATTTTGACTCTTCCAGTAATACATACAGCCGGTGTCTGATTTTATGGCATCTTTATCATAGCAATTTATTATCCAGTAGCAATAAAAATGGATCATAGTTTGCTACTGAAGGGGGAGTGGATGTACCTAGTATTTTTATGGCTCCACTTTGTTTTAGCATCTGTGATGCATTTATTATTATGCAGCAGTGAGGAGAGTTCCAAACAACATGTCAGAGGGAGGAAGAGGAGGTGAATGATGTCACTCATGGACTCACCTTCATGTTTATCCTTCATGCCTTGTCTGTCCGTCTCCCTTCCATGTCCTTGAATAGTCACTGCCAGCAGTTTTAAGGAAAGGATTGACTTTTGAAATGCTGCTGTGACTTCCTCTCTGTCACCTGGACCTTAAACATGTTCAGGGACTGAGACAAAATTATTTTATTCATTACTGACATATTGTTGTCATGTGTCCTACCACCATTTCTTTTGCCCCCAAGGGAAAAAAAAAAATGTTTCTTTTTATTTTTTCCATCTCTCTCTCCCAAGTTATGCCGTACAACACACTCTGACATAACACCATTGGTGTTGCTTCATTTTAAAGATGTTAAAAGCCCATCTCATGCTAAACTGGCAGCTCAACTGCCTTGTTTTGACCTCCAGAGATGGAGAACTGCACTTCCTTTTCTGAGGGCTGCACAGTGTTTGACGATGATCTGACCAGTCAGTGTGCAGACACAGCAGTGCATGCCTCAGCTATCCTTCACAAACACACAGCAAGGCACACATGCTTTAACTGGTGAAGTGGAACCAGAAAGTGAAATCATATCCTCATTGAATCTTCTGAGCGTTTTTTGTACTACAAAAACTGAATGGTAAACATGGTCACTTATTGTTACCTATTTAGCCTGGTCTGATGCTGTCTTTTGGGTGAAAACATATCCCCTTGTTTGGCCCATGAGCTGTGGAGTTGACCTTCCACTGTCCTCATGAACCTCGAAGCTACTAGCCCTAAATGCTGTGTGTGTGTTGGTGTTGCGTCCTTGTTGTGACTTCTATGTCTTTTGCTTATGGCAGACTTTGCTCTAGTTTAATAGACAAACTCGCTAAATGCTTCATTTGAACATATTCAGATGAACTAATGTATGTAACAGACAGATTTCAGGCTCTCTGGACAACTCTAATTGTTGTTAAGTCTAAAGTTATTTGTACCATCCAACCAAAACTTTAGCAAAACATCAAATCACTCTCATTGCAGCAATTGCATAATAACTTATATGTTAGGTAGGTAATTTATTATTGTAATGGGGATGTGGTAAAGTGCAAACTTTTTAGCATATCTATTTAGATTAAACATGTTATAATACTGTGTATGATATCATTTTGTCATGCACCAATCAATCAGGCAGTGATCAAAAGGTGGCAATTTCCAACTGTTTAACTCTAAACAGTGATCAGCAGGTAATGTACTGGAAAATATGTCCTTTAAGTGCCCCAAAACTGAAATCTCGCACTTTTTTCTGTCTGTAAACACATCAAAAGACAGCATGTTTTTTTGTTGTTTTTTTTTATTTAGTCAAGCTTAGATAACGGTAAGGCTCACGGGTTTTGATGCATAATTGGGAACAATTTTGAAATCTCTTCATTATGTTGAGTTCAAAATCACAGTATATATCAAGGATCCTCCAGCAGACAAAATAACCCTTGATACCCAAAGAGAACTATAGTTAAAAGTTTTACTTTAAATAATCAGTGGTTTGCTATTCATTTTCTTAGAAGAAAGGTAAATTGTCATTATGAGAGGGAAAATAGAGTTACTAAAAACCAGTTGCCTTCAAAGAAGTCCAATGTTACATTTGCTACCTCCAGCAGCTTTGTGTCCCTCACCCTCACTCTCCTACTGTCTGCTGTAGGTCTGCAGTTAGTATGAGTCACGCAAACAGACAGTGAGAGACACACACACCCTTCTAGGGCAGTCGAGGCGACACTGACTTTATTTTATCCCATCAATTATTTGTAGGGGTGATGGTGGCAACATGACTAGTGTTTGGAAGGTTGATTTATTTTTTCCTCTAAGGACTTTATGTGCCCTCATGGGTTTGACTGGTGGATACACTGTGTAGCTCTACTCAGTGAAAAGTCTAACATCAGGTTAGAAGCTGACAGTCTTCCTCTTGTTGTCAAGCTGTGGCAGCAGGCTGTGGTATTTGGAGCCTGAATGATCTGAAAAGTGCATGCTGACCTTTGAATAAAATTTGTTAGCATTACTAAGAAATCCATTCACATAACTCCACTGTATCTGGTCATAAAGACACCTGAATAAATATTTTCAAATTTGCCTTTGCTGGTTTTCAGGTCGGCCTCTGAGAGTTTCCTTACTTTGGACTGTTGAAGAGCACAGCTTAATTGACTCCTGGCCCTGGAGGGAGTTGGTAGTTTGTCTCAGTCTACAGATGCACATTTCCACAACAATGACTTTATGGCACCGTCACAAGAAACTTTCAGGCTTTGGGTTGAAGGGAAAAAGCGGAATTAGATTTACTTCAAATTGTTGACACAGAAGCCATCTGTTAGAAATATCATTGGATGTTATTAGTGAATGTAATTGCGATAGCAAAAACTGTACAACACTGGGATAGAAACTATTTAAATAAACTTAAGGGAGTTAATACTTTTATGCCTGTAGGAACATTAAATTGTCATAAATTTTTTATGCTGATGACAATAAAATGAACATAATCCTAATTCTTGTGGCTGAAAAACAAAGTATTTACAGCTAGTGTTACTTATCAATTGACTGCCACTCATTTGCACAGATTGGGATTAAACCTTTTCTTTTCCTCATGTTTATAAGCTGATAAGTTCTATTTCTTGCCTATTTACATATATCGTATGATAAATTATTCTGACATCCTGACCAACAGATAAAACAGATTAACTACTAATATGTTGAGTGGATTAGATCAGGTGTGGGAGAGCGCTGTGACACTAATCAAATCGGGAAAATCCAGGACAGCTTCTCTCTCTCTCTCTCTCTCTCTCTTTTTTTTTTTTTACGTTTTGTGCCTTTTCGATTTATATTGATGATTTCATTAGTGTGTCTGCATTTTCCCCACAAATCACAGCTTTCCTTCTTTGAAGTTATGGAAATGCTCGTCATTTTGATCGACATGTGAATTTTGGGTCTTTGGTTCCTCAAGGTAGTGTGGGAATTAGCTTTTAGGTGCAACAAGCCTCTTCTGGAAGCAGCTTACATCGTCAGAGGATAGCTGACAGATTTTGACAGGAATGCAGTGGAAATGTTATTTGGATTCTCTTTCCTGAGACGGGTTTTTATTAACTTGACAGTGAGCATTTGAACAGTCAAGATACACTCTGGTATTTTAGTGAGAATCTATTGGAACTGGCATGGAAAAGTGACTGTCAAATTTAAAATACCGATTTCACGGCATTTTAATCATAGCCCTTAAAGGGAAGTTGTACTTTGATATTTGATATTTGATATTTGCTCCTCTGAATTATAATGCATTATCTCAGGTCAAAAAGGCTTATGTAATTGCATGTGATTGCCAAAGATGAGTGTAAATAACAGCATCATGGCTAACAGGTTCTAAAATAGTCTCTAAATATTACAAAACTGATAAAAATGGTTTTAGGAGAAGAAAACCTTCTGTTCTTTTCTTAGTTTTCTTGAATACATCCCCATGAATTTTAATTTCCAAAAAGTACACTTTGGCATGTTTATGTCATTTACTACAAAGTCAGGACCCAATCACAGTAAATGTTCTTACCACACATTTCTTACATCAGAACTTTAAGATGTGACAGTTGTTTTGGTGTGTCCACATGAAAGAAAAGACAAAAAGCCAAACAGCGAAAGCAATTTAAACATTTTACAACTAAGCTATACAGTTTTTTAAGATGAGTGGGATGTCTTTCATACACACAAAAACAATAACCAACACTTTTTACTTTGGTGTCAATGCTTTTATGTTACTGCTTAAGTTACTAATTGCATTACTAACTAATCTCATTGAGAACATTTCTTTATGGTTCCCTCTCCCTCTGCTTCGCTGCTGCAGTCTCCAACCAAGTGGTACATGAAGCTTGTGCCTGTAAGTCCACATATCACTGCTGCCCCTTTTGCATCTGTGTGTTCATAGTGATTTATTTCATCCTTGCCACAGGGCCACACAATATTAAAAAAAAACATGCTATTGCAATGTTAATGTTGAACATTGTCACAATATTAGTCGCTACTAATACCAGATTTACCTAATTAATCCTTTTTTCAAAGCTCAATACATGATAAGAGCTTTTGGATCTCGCTTTTTATGCCACTAAATTCTATGACTTCTCCCTCTGACAGGGATCAAAAATAATGAAGGTTAGAGAAACTGGTCAAATTTAATATTGCCAAGCAAGCCATTACAAATGAATATGAATACATTAATATTGCAATAACAATTTGGATTGCATATATTGTGCAGCTCTACCTCATTTGATTGTTGTGGATGTAGAATTTCCCTTTGTCTTGTCAACAGGTCATTTATCTGTCATTTTATACACATCAGATAGATGACAAAAATCTTCTGATTCTTATTAAAATGGCTTCAATATCTGCTGTATGTAGGGATAAGTTTAGTGAAACCCATGAAAACTTTATTTTTTTCGATTGTGGCCATACCTATTTATTACATCCGTCCTTATATTCTGTAGGTTATACAACATTGAGGAATTGCTTAAGTTCTCCCATGATTAAATATTAGACAAGAAAAAATACTTTATAGTTTTTAGACATCTAGGAAGGAAGAATTACTGTTGTAGTTTGAAATCCATATTTTAGTTATTGTCGTTTGAGTAACAAGCCCCATGAGTTTTTTATTTCACCTAGAAAAAAATAAATCTAACCACTTTACAACATTTGAATATAGATCATTTAAAAAGCTACTGTTTCTTGTCTTTGGCATATATCAGTTCATTTCCAAAGTCATTTAATTACCTTCATTCTTGAGTAAATCCTCTAAATTCACACTGTTCTCTCAACTATCTGCCATTTCTTGAAAGCTCTAATGAAAGCCCAGCTGTTGTGAGGGTCGCTCCATTAATTGTGCCTAATTTTGCCTCCCATTAAGTGAATGAAAAACAGAAACAATAGGATAAGTCTGAGTTACAAACTACTGAAGATCTAAGCAAGACGCTGTTCTGCAAAGCACTTGGGTTTATAGCTGTTTATATCAACAGGCTCGCTATCGGAAAGAGCAGGCCTCTACCCAGCTGGCTCCCTGGATCCCCCCAGTGGACAACCTGCTTAAGGACAGCACAGACGGCTCGGCTCTGGGTGCACTGCTGCATTTCTACTGCCCTCAGCTGCTTCCCCTGGATGGTAAGGAGACGAAATGGAAACAGTTGCTGTTTTTAGATTCTGATGTCAGAAAAGAGACGGTATAGTGTAGGTTCACTGAGTCGATCAGTTGTCTTTCACAAACAGAAGATGCATTCAATTGACGGACCAAGTAAACAAACCTATTTACTTTGTAAACACGTGATAATTCATTCATTTTAGAGAGAATCGGGGGGAAAAAAACATAAAGTGGCAGCTAAACCCACTATTAAATAACAGTAAGCCACTATCTTAACATTTAAGACTTTTACAAAAGTGTGAGGAAAAGTTAAAAAAAGCTACCTCAGCTGTGTCTGGAAAAAAAAAAAAAAAGATTGTTCATCTATCAGTGCAGTGGAAAGCTCTCTTGTCATCAAATTTTGTCTGACAGCTGATGGATCTGTCTGCTCTCATAGATGTCTGTCTGAAGGAGAATATGAGTCTGGCCGACCGTCTCTACAACCTGCAGCTCATTCAGGACTTCTGCAAAGACAACCTGAACAGCTGCTGCCACTTCAGCCTGGAGGACATGCTCTACGCCTCCTCAACCATCAAGGTACAGCCTGAATCAGCATGCATAATCTTTCTTCAACAAAAGACAAAAAGTTCAAGATTATCATGTTGAAATTATTCAAGATTTTATAATGTTTAGGTCTGCAGTTCTAAACTTCTTGTTGTTGTTGTTTTTTCCGATGGGGATCATTTCTGGCTTATTGTCCAAATGCTAGCTGATTCTTCTCACTGATACATTATTAGTATTTTTTTTTGTTTTGCCTGTTTTTGTGGATTTGTTGTGTGACACAGAGAAGAAACCCATATGGCATAGCTGTGTATAGGGAGAAAGAAAAAAAAATAAGAAAAAAATAAGTTGGGTTGCACGCCAGTGGAGTGAGTCATGCTGTGGAAAAACCTCTTGTAAAAAACGCTCTGTTCAAACCACAAAATTGGAGAACTCCATACAGGCTGCACTGCTGCTGTGTGCATTTATTTAGCTTTTTCCTTCTATACTATTTGCTTTTACGTTGTTTTTCTTACCCTATTTTAGGTCCCACTTCTTTGTGAGACATTCCCTTGTGTTTTTCATTTTGTGTTGTTATCAGGCTTTGAGTTTTCTTTACTTCTGCCACTTGTAATTTTTGGTTTGCATGTGTCTCACTAAAACCCTCTTATTTTTTTCTTTTCCCTTGTTAATGCTTCAGCTTACAGACTTGCTGTCTGTAATGTATTCATAAAGTTAGCATCTTTATGTAGATTTGTGTAAACTTCTTGCTACGTGCGATGATGCTGGAGTGCATCTGTCCTAGAAACAACTCCTGTTTTTCATTTTTTGCTAAACTCACTTGCTGTCCTACTTTTCTTCCTGCAGCAATAATAACGCACACGTAGCCAATAAAACAGGCTAAAATAGTTGGCAAATATGTCAACCATGTCAGACTGATGTACTTTTTGAAATAGAAAAGCGTTGTTTTTTTGTTGTTCTCTGTTTTACATTTTATTTAAAATATTTTTCCAAATCTTTGCCAGATTTAAAAGTGCATGAACAGCAAATAAGCTATCCTGATCTTTGTCCACTGCTTCCTTTGAGGTCCTAATGTCTATGTCAGTTGCATTTTGGAGGATTTACATTCTTGTTCCTACATTTTATCCTTTTCATCAAATAGCCATTGTGGCTTCTGAAGCACATGAATATCACAACGTCAGAAAACAAATCACAGTGCAGACAACCTAATTGTTCCTTTAATAACACCCTTCTGTTGGTTGGAGGGTTTATTGCAACTTTCCTTGTGTGCTTCATGTTTTTGTTCTTGTGGTGACTATCAGTCTCTTCCCCTTTGTGCTGCATAAACAGTACGCTGGTGTGTGATTTGATGGATGAGTCTGGCTTTGGCTTGCTTTGGATTGTGTGTCTTTGGATTCAGGCGTGTTGCTCTGAGCAGAGACAGAATACAGGTCACTGAAAGGACAAACTTCTGTCTAACCAAAAAACATGTCAGGTTCCAAACAATCAACTGATTTAATGTGAACATAATTATACACAAACTTTATTATAAGGTAATACTATCAATATAAATATACGGGTTGGAATAGTTGTATTTCTCATTACTTTGATTAAAAAAAGCAAAACATTTAGTATTTTATTACAATACATTTATGCTTCCTCCAAAAAATTCATGCCCTCTTGACCATGGTGAAATAAAAATAAACCTTTTGACCAACATGCAAAATTGTTTGTGACTGGAAATAATCATTGCACCGTGAAAACATCGTGCCTATGAAAATTAACCTTATCCATTGTTTAGATTGTCCCAATCTAAACAATGGAAGTGTTTAGATTGAAGCTTATTCATGTTCTAGAATGTTAAAGTCATTCTAGAATGACTTTAACATTCTAGAATGTTAAAGTCATTCGCAATCAGATTGCGAATGATCAGATTCGCAATCTGATCATTCGCAAATCAGATTGCGAATGATGTTCTTCCTCAAAAAGCTCAAGGATTTTGAGCACTGTACTTAGAATTTGTGTTGCAAAACAGAGGCTTTGAGTGTTTGAACAGAGACAACACAAGTGAAGGATTGCTGTGGCGGTTCAAAGGTTAAAACTAATGTTATAACATAAGTGTATAACTATAATGTATCAGATTAAAAGTGTTGCTCCAAAAAAGCTGCATGTCACTGTCAACAGAGCTTAAATGAAGAAAAAAGAAGAGTGATTGTGTTCTGAGTCCAGCCAGCAGCATCATTTTGCTGACACTGATTTTTGCAGACATAAAGCTGTCCCAGCAGAGCACAGTTACTGTCTGAAAGAAGCAATAAAAGGCAGAACTGCAAAGCGAACAAGTCAAATTCGGTAACCTTGACCTGGATTCCAGGCACACACAACATCAGTGGCTGTGTGCCGCAGCCCGTCACACTAATGGAGACCTTATTATAAAGACTGAGCCGAGACATTAAGGCGAGGCGAGGTGAGGGGGCTGTTGTCGCAGAAGAAATTGGAAACAGGACAGGGGTAGCATGAGTGTGAAGCCATTAAGAAGGTGAGGGAAGGATATGATCAGTAATATTGAAGAGAATCACGGGGGTTCAGCTAACTCCCAGTGCACATACTCACGCTAGCTTGTTTATTTACTCTTAAGATGGTGTTGCTCTTAAGCTAATCCCAATCTATCAGCACCTGTGGGTTGTATAGTTTTGCAAACATCTTTACTCATTCAGCATAATCAAAATTAAAATTGAAGGCAGACAGTTTAACTTTCATCAGTATCCTCATGTCTGCTCATGTAAAATCACATGTCTATTGCAAATTTCTGTAAATGTAAAATACTTAAAAGACGGTGGACGTGGGATGAGTGCTTAAACAATAGGTTTCTTTAGACATGACAATTCCACTTGAGTTCCACCATGCTTTTATAAAACACAATGTGTTAGCCTTTAAAACCTAACCCCATAAAACCATTCATTACATACACAACTTAGCCATTACCCTTAAGTAATGGGCTTGGCTTAGTAAATCATCTCAGCCTTAATGACTCCCCTTTTAGACACTCTGCATTTAATTAATTCACAACACATCTAAATTACCATCTGTGGTTGAAAGAATGGAAATTTTGTTCACCATGTCTGGTTTTTGACTATCTTTTAACCACTGGACATCAAGCTTTGCATGAATCTCAGTTAGTTGGTCCTCCATTTTCTGGTGGTTTCACTGTGAGGGTCTATTTGACAGAAAGTAGGATATTTCACAAGGGAAAATGGCTTGACACCTCAATTTCCTGTAAAATGTAAAACTACTGCATCTGACTGATACTAAGTTCAGATCCCCAAGTAGGTTAATATGGTGCGGTAAAGGGTATAAGGATAATTAGAATAAATCTAGTAATTTTATTTATGTAGGTAAATTAAAAAAAAAACACACAAAAAAAAAAAACAGTTTCTTTTAAGTGTTTCACTGTAAATAGTGAGTGAGCTCAATAATATACACAGGCGGCCCCCATTTAATGTCTTAAAAACAACAATAATATTTTAAATTTCTTTCTAAGCTTTACAGGTAGCCAGTTTAATGATACTAACAAACGACATGCTGTTTTATCTGTTTAAGTCACTGCTGCCACACCAGCTTTTCTTTCTACTCGGTCTGAAATTGTAAGATCTGTTTTCCCCTCTGGACTGACAGTAGCTCAATAAACTTGGCAGGAAATGAAAGAGTGGGATTTTCCACATTTGTGTGATTGTCTCTGTCTGCCTGCTAGACCCATATCCTTTAATCAACTTTCCGTCCCACCTCTTGTTGGGATTAAATCCCCAGGAATTGTTGGTGCATGTCCTTGTCTCCTGCAGAACTCAATGATATCACTCACAGGGTGTGTCTGAGTGACCTGCCATTGACTTTTTTATTGGCTTTAAGCAATACACACCACAAGTGCCTTTTTGTGTCTCATTATTATATTGTGTGTGTGACATCTCAATCCCTGCAGAGTGGATTAGCCACCACCCCCACTCATCCTACTTCTTCCCACTAGAAATCTCATTAATCATCAGTCAGGTTAAAAGCTGCACACTTAAATCTCCAAACAGCCAAATCTGGCAGTTCTGCAAACCAGGCAACGTCAGAAGTAGTAGAGCCAAACAATGGGAAGATAGGTGGGGCAGTGGGTGATCTGTGTGAGTGCATGCTTGCTTAGGGGTGGTATTATACTACAGCACTCACACCTGGGGTGTCAGTAGTAGACAGGGGAACAGATGGAAAGGAAAAACAAGGCCTGGGTGGTTCAGATATAAGGAGATCTCATCATCATTCTTGCACATTTTTCTGCGTTTCTGTTCATCAAAACCTTAAAGGATAAAACCCTAAAGGTAAATAGCATGGTTTGACTAGCAGTTAAAAAAAAAAATTATGTTGAGTAAGAAAAAACTTAGCTGAAAGAAGTTTTATTTGTGCATGTTGATAACATTACTTTTTATTACTGAAAGCACCTAGAAAAGACTGGTTTTGGAGTTCTGCACACTAGCATGTGGGCTCCAACATGAAGAAACACTGTAAAATGCTGCAGTAACAGCCACAATAGACAAGTGTCAGTAGTGTTAATTGCCTCTGCACCTCCTGGTGGGCTCTTGGGCTGCAGTTTAGAGGCTTGTGGAGTGAATGTTTGATTTGTGTGTGTGTGGTAGTTTTTTGCTTAGCAGAGCAAAATATTGCTGATGAAGTGAAAAGGATGTCGTTGGCGCTGATCCATGCACCACTGCCTTTGTCTGGGGACCGCAGATTGAGGGGTGGTTAGAGGGTGTGTTCCCTCAAGGTCACTCTCGCTTCAGAGCTCCCATACTGCATATTTATGGGAGCTGCATGAACACATGATTTAGAATACTTCAGCATTTGAGCCTTAAAATGCATTTAAGCAAAACAAGATGCTAATGTATTCTCTTTAAGAAATGTTACAGTTTTGCTATGTGTTAGAATTATTACAAAATTAATATCAGTTTTCTAGAATTTCTCCTTTGGTATATCCAGATTTGCAGCATGTATTATGTGTTGAAATGGTGGCTCTTTTTTCAGAGCAGGGCAATCTAGCGGTTTGACCTCCTACTGTATGTTGACCTGATTTAGAAATGGACATGCCATGGCACAGCAGTGTCACGAAATATCAACATTTACCTAGTGTGAATTAGGTTAACTGGTTGGTTGCACAACTGTGACTGAAATCATAAAATATACTTATGAAAAAATTTATTTAGCCTTTTTGGCTTCTTGTAGTTTCTGACATTTCTCAAATCCTGGCTCCAGCACATTTTTTTTTTCAGTGTAGCAGGTAATAATTATTTTATCAGTCCTCAGAAAATGTGTTAACCTGCTGAAAGGAATAAAATAAAATAGCTGGAAATTAAGCTGGAAATCGTTTGCAGACATTGTGTGGAAAGGGACAAACTTGATGAAAATTTCATCACTGCAGATCTTCTTGAAGTCCACAGTGACACATGGTGGGGAAATATATTCAGTGCAGTTGTAATTTAGTAGAAGTTGACCAATAGAAAGTACTTATATTTATCTTTGAAGAATCTTCAGATCAAATGGGTTTAACATTTGTTTTTTTCCCCCCTCAGAACAACTATTTGGTGTTCATGGCCGAGCTGTTCTGGTGGTTTGAGGTGGTTAAGCCGTCTTTTGTAAAGCCAAGAATGCTTGACAATGAAGGGACAGGCAAGTAATAAATTCAAGCATTATAATTCAAGTTACAGTTTTGTTTAGTTTGTTTGAAAATGTAGTATAAAAAGTTAAATACCACATACTTGTAGGTTTCCTAAACTGGAAATAGAATGATCTGCATTGTGAAAACAAATTTTCTCTCCATCTCACCCTTCCAGAACCATCATCCATATTGAAAAGTATGCCTTTCATTCCAATCTCCAAAGCTACCAAGAGAAGCTTCATGGAAAGACCTCCAAGTCCTGAAAGACCCAGGTAGAGTGTTGTAAGAATTTTGTGTAAAGTTATGTTGATTCACGAGATTTAAAAATTAAAAATTGTCATCTTTTTCTGTAAATTTATAGTTTACCCCTTCGACCCCAGCCTCGTAACACAGGTAATTATAATTTTCACAGCAAGAACATTAGCTGTTTTATTGGGTAATTTAAATTCTATTGTTTTTACCTGTTTTCTATCTGATTTTTGTTATCCAGGAGATATCAAGAGGTCTAGCTCCATGTCTTTTGTTGATGGGAATCTAGGCACATGGCCCAAAGAGAAAAGGTTGGTAATTACATCTACTTATCACGAGATGTGGCCATTTTGAGTTAAATCTAACGAGCTCACTGAGTTAAATTAACCACTAATCACATACCTGCAGATTTATTTACAGTTTTGTTCTTTCGTTATAGGTCTGGGCCTTACGGGGTGTCATTTGACATCCCCTTTGATAAAGGGGATTCTGCTCCTGCTGTACCTTCCTCTACACGTGGAATGGTTAGATCTATCAGCACTGATGATGGTTCTGGTTTCAAGGTCCAGCACATGCCTCGGGGAATGAAGAGGAACCTGTCGTTCCAGCCAGTGAATGGTCAGAGCATTGGCATCCAGGAAGAAGGCTGCCCAGAACGCCTTGCAGGGGTGGAGTCCTGCAGGCAAGCATACCCCAATGGACATGGAAGTGTCCTGGCATCAGCTCCCTCTATGGAAGAAACCCTCCAGATCATCCACAACCCAACCAGACAACCTGTAGAGGGCATCAACAGTGGTTTCTTTCTGCACAGCCAAGACCCTGGGAACGATGCTGGTGTCTTGGACCCTCTGCCAGAATCTGATTCCAAAGAACTTTTGAGCACCGCAGACACCACCGAGGTGGACACCGGCATTCACATCCGGACAGAGGACATGCTGGATGAAGACTCCTCTTTGAAAGACCTCTCTGTAAACATGGACCTCGATGTGGACACACCAAGCCCCTCTCCAAGCAATCAGAGTAAATCTCCCTCGGGAGTGAAGTTGACCAGCTTTGCCGAGCAGAAGATGAGGAAGCTTAGTCCATCAGCACCAGATTCAGGCAGAGGAAGCAGCAGCTCCATGAAGACCACTCCAGAGAGCTCAGAGTTTGCTCTCCCACTATCAGTCTCCTGGGCACCAACACCTGAACACAGCCCCATCCGTCAACAAAACACACCACCCATTACTGCTCAGACAACACCCACATCTGTCCAGCTTCCACCCAATGACCCTGCACAGGTCATGGCTACAGAGATGGTGCAGCTGAGGATAAGGCTCGAAGAGAAACGAAAAGCTATTGAAGCTCAAAAGAAGAAAGTGGAAGCTGCTTTTACGAGGCATCGGCAGAAGATGGGCCACTCAGCATTCCTCAATGTGGTAAAGAGGAAAGCTGATGGGGCTGCTAGTGGGGACGAAGGGGGTCAAACTGATGGGGAAGGAAAGTTGGTGAGCACAAGTCCCACATTTAAATTTGGCCGGAGCAAGGCGGACACACCTGACGGCGCAGAACAAAGCACCACACCCTCTTGCTGGCAGAAGACACCAGGTTCAGGAGATGAGGGTGGACAAAGCCATGCTCAGATCACTGAAGCAGATCTCTCAGAGTATACACGTTCAATCGAAAAGCTCAACCACTCTTTGGCATTTCTCCAGGCTGAGATGCAACGTTTAGCTCAGCAGCAGGAAGTGATCATGGCCATGAGGGAACAACAGCATCAGCAAGCCTGGGTCATTCCCCCTCCTCATACAAACCCCTCACCACAGAAACATCTTCGCCCTGGAGCTGTTACCCGCTCTTCTGGGCCTTCTTCCCCTGCCGACTCACCCCGTTCAACCCATCGCTCTCCAACCAGCATCAAACGCAAATCGGCCTCCTTCCACTCACGCAATCCTCGCACGGCTCGACCCAGTGAGCTTAAGCTGGCACCGTACAGTCGTGTCCTAACTGCACCGCAGTCAGTCGATAGCATCCCGAGGCTGCGCAGGTTTTCTCCTTGCCAGCCTTTGACGAGCTCCTTTATTTATATGGGGGAGAAACCAGCAGCTGCTGGTCCAGAAACAATCGGCCAAGATGGGGATAATACTAAGGAGACAGATTCCATCCTGTGCCCTGAGAGGGAGCTGGCGAGTATCTGTGCTGCCTGCTCCCCTCACAGCTCCCCCAAGCTGCAGACCAAAACAGAGCAAAGTGAAGTAGATGCAAACTTCTCCAACCAGGAAACAGAATCTCACACCCATGATGAGATTTTAAACACTGTAGAAGATGACCAGAGCAGCACAGTTCAGAAATCATTTATTGAACTTAAACCCACCATTGAGTCTTCATTCCCTGAGGTTCTTGCCCACCCTGTAGTAGAAACCTTCACAGTGACGCCATCAGAGTTACCTCCAAAGCCAGAACCCTCCGGTCAGGCCAAAAGTAGTCTGATTGAGGTTCCTCTGATGGCCACGAAGTCTACGGAGGATCTGACAATTGATGATGGTTTGGAGATGGAACAAGACAGTACTGAGAGTGCAGATGAAGAGCAAATGTTATGCCGTGGATTCTTCTTTAAGGTAATTTCAGTTCTGTCAATTTTGTCAAGAAATACACAGGAGTATCAAGAGACAACTTTTGATAATGGAATCTTAATGTGCACCTTTAACACTGCTGTGGGGGAAATGTGCAATTATATACTCATAACAGCATAGCCCTGTTTGTTTTGGTGGGGAGAGCTTCTCGCCCCAAACATGATGAGATTAATAGTTGAGGAAACATGTCGGCTAAGGACAGCATCGTCTTTTCTTGCACGGCATCTTAGATTGCTTTTAGCTGCTGTCTGGGCTCCGATGTAGGTCAGAAAAGTGGGGCTGCTGTGAATAATTCAGGGACATCTGTGAAAATGTGGGGTGGGATACAGGTTGACTTGAATGTAAAGCTTAGGGGATGTTTGGTCTCTTAAAAGAAAACCAGTTTGTCTTTAAACTGAAAAATGAATTGACTTTTATTTAACTAATGAATTTATTCTTTAGAAGACTGGCAACCTGTCCAGGATGTACCCCGCCTCTCGCCCGGAACGTTAGCTGGAGATAGGCACCAGCACCCCTCCCGACCCCACTGAGGGACAAGGGTGTTCAGAAAATGGATGGATGGATATATTCTTTAGATATACATTCTAGTTATTTACTAAGTCTAACTAAATATGTTTTTTTTTTCTTGAGTTATTTGCAGTGCTTTTATAAAAGATTAACTCATACAAACCTCCAAGTTAAAAGAATACTTTTGCATCACCCATAAGTAGGTATGATGCATTTTATGTATCATGATAGTTAGTATATGCATACTAGTAAAAAAATCACCACAGGAGCTCTAAGTCTTTTTTGGCAAACACTTTTGTTAACCATCAGAATAGTAATTTACTACAAAATTACTTAATGACTTTCTTCTCCTTGCTGTTTTTGGTTTTCATCAGGAGGATGGCAAGGCAGAGGAGAACATGGCACAGAGGAGAGCCGCACTGCTGGAGAAAAGGATGAGGAGAGAAAAAGAGAGCCAGATGAGGAAGATGCAGCTGGAGGCCGAGTTGGAGCAGAAGAAAGAGGGAGCTCGGTATGCAAATTTACAACTTTCCTTTGTTAAAATAAAAAGTCAGCTTAGTCTTTGCCGTTATCTGAATTTGTCAGATTTTTGTTTGTTTGTTTGTGACTATATGTTGCATTGAGTTTCTCTCCTTCAGTTTTAATTTTTAAAGTTTATAATTTTGTTTTGTTTAACGTTGATTTTCTTTGTCATTAAATGTTTTTAAAAAATTACAAGAATAAAAAGTTCCCAGAATATACCAATTAGGTCCTTGGAGTCGACCTAAATACACTGACTAAGCTTAACTTTTTACAATCTGTATATTTGTATAGATCTTAAAATTATACATGAAGGATTTCAACTGGAAAACCTTCCTATTTTTGATAGCATTTTTAAACCTCAATCTCCATACTTCTTCTTCTTCTGTTCCTCAATATGCTCAGACTGAAAGCAGAGGAGGAGCGAGTCAGGAAGGAGGAGGAAAAGGCCAGGAAGGAGTTCATCAAGCAGGAGTACCTCAGGAGGAAGCAGTTGAAGCTGATGGAGGACATGGACACCATCATCAAACCCCGACCTGCCAAGCAGAAGCGGGGTCGACCCAAGTCCATCCACCGGGACAGCATGGACTCCCCAAAGACCCCTGTGAGAGCTCCCACAGGTATCCAGAAGGACTTGGTTCAGAAACAGCTGTCCTGTCTTTCAACTCATTGTCCTGTACCTGAGAAATTGTGTTTCACTATTTATGTATTGTCAAAATACTATTTTTGGGTCATTAACAAAAATATGTAAAACCATTGCACTCTAACATACTTAAAAAGCTGCATATCTTTAGGATGTGCATATCTATTGAATCACTTTGTCCTAATTATTTGACTCATAATATGTTGTCTTCATGCATTTTATGGCTGTGATGACTGACTGTTGTCGTTTCACTGACCTCCACATTGCTCTGTGTCATGGCTGCCACAGCAAGTCGTTTTGTTTCCATTTGTGGTGTCTGTGTAATCGTGTCACGCTGTGCCACACTTTGCTGTCTCACATCCAGGTTCACGCCAACGTTTCTTTTCAGTCTCCAGCTTGTCTCTGGCTTCGCTGACCTTGGGCGACAGTGACAGTGTTCACTCAGACAAAAGAGCGCCAAGGTAAGATCTGCTTACAAGTGTATTATTGCAAGCAGAAAGTATGCAATTGAAGTATATATATATATATATATATATATATATATATATATATATATATATATATATATATATATATATATATATATATATATATACACACAATACATTAAAAAAAAAAATAAAGGGAACATTTCACTTTAATTTTGTGTGTTGCTCCAAATCCAGGCCTCCATTGGTTAATAAATTTGATTTCCATTGATGATTTTTGTGTGATTTTGTTATAAGCACATTCAAAAATGTTATGATAAAAATCAACAGCTGGTGTGACTTTGGTTGGAAATCTTGATTAAATGTATTGTTCTACTCTAACATGCTCTCTTTAAATTTTTCTTTGCTACTTTTTTCCTGCTGTTTCACACGTCAGAAGTTCTAGTTTAGCTTCTAGCAGTCTCTTCTACTTTCTGAACTCTCCCAAACAGAGAAGGAGAAGGTTAGTTTCTTCTTGGGACTTGAAGCTAAGGCCACTAATCTTTTCAGCCATGTGCGAAGATGCTCATTACTGATTACAAAGCACTGGTCTGATTCTAGACTTCCTGTGCTTGTAAGTTTGATAACCAGAGTCTTCACAGTTCTGACTCCCACATGATGTATCTCATTATAAAGCATTTCACAGCCTTTATGTTATACACAAACAGGTTACATACGGCCTCCACCCACAAAGACATGGTTTACAAATAAATGCTCCACGCATCCGGATGTTTGTGAGGAAATGCGATATGCACATGGGCTGTAAAGTGCTTAATAGTGAGATACAGAGTAAGCTTTGAAAAAGAACACCCACTATGCTTCTCACTCACCCATCTACAGTTCTAATGCACAGTGCTGTTAGATTCACAGCCGACTAAACATGAAGGGGAACCTTTTTGTTTAAAAGCACAGTGTCACAGAGCCCACTCCGCATAAAATAACATTATCAAGTCATTGCTTTGTCATATAATAAACACATGTAAGGTAAAAAAAGGAAGGCTTAAATGACTTGTTAATGTGTATTCACAAAACACTCTACTGAAAGATTTAATGCAAGTTTGGCTTTAATTGCTCTTATTGCAAAATAGGAGCAAGTAAAAGCTGCACTATATCTGATGGACCTGGTCCACATTATGCTCCTCCCCCAGCCTGCGCTTGCAAACTCTGTTGTTTTCCTGCCCTCTGCAACATCAAACCAAGCCCTTGCTTTTGATGACCAAACTGAAAATCACCCTGTCTTGCTTACACTGTACTCTGCTGATCATTGAGGTTTAGCTCACATGCAGGACAGGTGAGCTAAAACTCAGTGTGTGTATCTGTGTGCGTGTGTGTGTGTGTGTGTGTGTGTGTGTGTGTGTGTGTGTGTGTGTGTGTGTGTGTGTGTGTGTGGGTGTGTGTGGGTGTGTGTGTGTGTTTTAGGCCAGACTCTGCCAATGGCTTTCTCTCACCGACCCGCTCCAGCAGCAGAAACGGAGAAAAAGACTGGGAAAATGCTTCAACCACCTCTTCTGTTACATCCAACACAGAGTATACTGGTAGGTATACATAGCATGATGCTTAAGCATATCTGGTCCGTTTTTATCATTCAGAGATGCTAAAGTCACTTAAAATCTGTGCATTTAATACACAGATTTTAAGCACTTTACAGCCCACGTGCATATAGCAGTTCTAAATACACAGATTGATACTGAAAACTCTGGCTTTTATAATACATATGTATTTCCTTCTCAGACCACAACATGACACAGAGATCTTCATGCATGATTTATTAAAGTGTTAAAATAGGGACCAGGTTTGTTGTATCTGAAATAGTGTCATCCTGATTTTCTTTTTTGTTTACTCTCAGGACCAAGGCTGTACAAAGAGCCCAGTGCCAAATCTAACAAGCACATTATCCAAAATGCTCTGGCCCACTGCTGCCTCGCAGGCAAGGTCAACGAGGGGCAAAAGAACAAGATCCTGGAGGTAACAGCTTGGACTATCGCTGCTCTAAACAAAGATGCCTTGTTGACAGCAGTGATGATGCATGTGACTTTAACGTCCAGTTTCCAAGTGTTTTAATTCGTTTTATTTGGAGATCCACTGATCTGAAATTACTTGACTGATTTTCAATGGCTGAATGCATAGCTGTTTTCAGCCATTTAGCCATTTCTGATTTATTTTTCAGATCTATAAATAAAAGTCGTATTATTTTTATATATATATTTGCATGAACTGAAATTTTTACATTTTTAAAGAATTAATAAACAACAGAACTTTCTTTCTTTCTTTTCCACACTAAAAATCTGAAAAACAAAAAGGGATCATTTATTTTTGTGTGCATCTTAAAATTTACAATATATGCACTATCATATTCACTAAATTAGAATATATGTTCAGGTGATGCTCGGTCACCAGGTATTAAACATCCTTTTCATTAAGCCCACATTTCTGAATTCTGGATATTTTACAACAGACATCATGTTGGTGTCAATATGTACACCAAACATGTGTGTAATTAATCAGTGTATTTAATGCACTGAGCTGAATAACTGACATATATAAATATTTTTCAATATGTTTGAGATTGTAAATTATCTTATTTAACATTGGTGTTGAGCACAATTAGCATGGTTTGCCTTGCTAAATGTAAACATCAGTCTCTGTGTGTTTTCCCTGTAGAATGCACTGAAATAAAGTGGAGGCCAGTAAAGATCTCTTAAGCATTTGTTACTCTGACATTAGGCTTCTTATTTGTTACTTTAACAGGAAATGGAAAAATCAGAGGCCAATAACTTCCTGGTTTTGTTCCGGGATTCTGGCTGCCAGTTCCGATCCCTCTACACCTACTGCCCCGAAACACAGGAGATCAACAAACTCACAGGGATCGGTCCAAAGAGCATCACTCGCAAGATGATCGATGGACTCTACAAGTACAACTCGGACAAGAAGCAGTTTAGTCAGATACCGGCAAAGACCATGTCAGCCAGTGTGGACGCCGTGACCATCCACAACCACCTCTGGCAAACCAAGAAGCCAGCCACCCCTAAAAAAGTAGTGCCTGCACAGTCCTAATAGAACTCTGTACCCCCAATCAGTACCCATCTCAGTTTGCACTTCGCTGTACATATCCATAAGGATTCCAACACCTGCAATGCCAGTTTGATGAATGCTTATTTATCTTTTTTATGTTAATTTATCCTCTCACTGCATTCCTGTCGCTGTCTATCTTGCATACTGTTGAGTCAATCTGACAGGATGCATCAGATTATGGAAAACTGGAATGTTACCGTTGAACAAGTTATTGACAACGTTTGAGTCAGTCTTCATAGGTACGTATGAGTATTGTTCTGTTTTATTACGTGCTAAAAGTGGAAAAAGAGACAGTATGAATGCAAAGACATTTTACGTGGTAACCTGAATCACTGAATGTTTTCATGTACAGATGGTTTTCTGTTTGTATGACTTTGTTGATGCCGGGCCTTATGCACATTTTTTTTCTCTGTGTGAATGCATTGAAGGAATTGTTAGGTTGAAACTTTTTAGGTGTTTTGAAGAGGACCTCTTTTCTTTAACGTCTAAGGATTTTACAGTTTGTATGAAAAGGTTTGTGTGACTGTCAAAAGGCCAAAAACTAATTTCATACAGCTAGTGTTAGCCACACAATTCACGTGTGCTCAGCTCAACAAAGCCAAGCGGTTTCAGCTTTTACAGAATAATTTTGGGAGTAGAAGAATGTCGCTGTAAGTCACTGGTCCTTCACCTGTAGGATACGACACCTAGTGACGATTCATAGAATAATGTATAATGGATGCTTAATATTGGGAGAGATTTGCATTTGTAGTGATATAGGTGCAAAAATGACATTAAGGATGAATTATTCTGTCACACTGGTTGTTTTAACTCTGGAGAAGTTTTATAGCTGGTTTGTGAGCAAAACAAAACAGCTCAGTATTATTTTATTTATTTAATCCTGCAAACAGCACCACGTAGGAACCTTACAATCAATAACATTTCCGCCTGCTGGTTAGAGGAATATGACTGAAACTCAAGGAATAAACATTGCTCCTTTTATTCTAATTTAACTAAATTTTTCTAGTATTTTAACTGTGTTACTAAGCTCAAGATTTAAACTCTTCAGATAATAATACTAATAATATCTACACTTATGAAAACTGCGAGGCAATTCCACTAAGCACCAGAATACAGTCGGTTAATAGAGCTTTTTTTTTTTTTTTCACTCAGATAATTTCTCCTGTTGTGAAGTAAGTCAACCATACATCCAAGTAGTAGGAAATTCTATAGAAAATAGCCAATAAAAAATAAGTTGCTATGTGTCTTGTATATGTTGACCTTTTGAACATAAATAGGTTTTAAATTAAGTAAATTATCAGATAGTTTGTGTAACAGCAGCCTATTTGTATGTTGTCCTCAAACACAACATGTATTATTAAAGCTCTGGAATGTGGTAAATAAATTTATATTCTTTGCTATTTTTAAAAAAATTGGAAGCAAAATGTTGCAAGGAAGAGAAATGCAGGTGGATCCAAGCTGCTGAATACGGGTAGAGACTCACCATCAGGTTTTGTTGGTATCAATATTGTGTTATTTTTGCCTCCGAATGTCAGATTAACACCATGTGTGATTTCCTTTTTTCTTTTTCTTTTTTTTTTTTACTAAATAAATCCTTAAACATGGTGCTATTATTTTCATAAGAGTGTTTTGTGGGAAATGGGGGGTATTTATTGCCACAAGGAAGCATGTACATGCTTCTGAAAAAATGTCATTGAACATGAGGGAGAGAAAGATCTGTCCACAGGAAACTGTCCGTTGGCTTTTGGCTGTTGAAGGCCAAGGGGAAAAGATCATTTGAAGTGTAATGATACTGTACAGCGTGTTCATGTGAGCTTTCTGTTTGCTACGATGCCTTTGTTTGTGCTGTCATTTAACATTGCACAGTAGTTCCATTTTTAGATTGTTCTTATTTTTGTTTTTGAAATGAATAAACTTCAGCATGGCCTCAGTTTGTATGTGATGTCTGTGTTTAATGTGTGTGTGAAAAATACTTGAATGCAAATTATGCAAATGGTCAAATTTTAAGAATGAAAACAAAGAATAAACATAATAAACTGGAATCACTAAGGAAGGACTGTAAAACAGAAACAAGACTCTAATCAAATAAACTAAAGAATACAGAATAAACACAATTCTAACCAACTCAGAGGTCTATAGAGCACTATTTCAGAATTTGATGCAATATGTTAAATTATAAAAATAAATTTGTGCCTTTCTCTGTCTAGTTCTGTGCATTGGGGCCAGTGGGTTCACCTAGGGCACTATTACAACAACCGCCTCTCTCTCAATTAACCAAAGCTGTAACGAGTCGGGTATGGGGTTCCATTTGTACCATAGTCGGCAACTGAATCCAAGGGGTAATGTAAATTCATACAAAAACACAAGTATTTAGGTTTCTTGTTAACACAGTATCAAGAATAGTAATAGCTGTCAGTAAAGTCTTATTTTTGCACAGTTGTCGCGCTGTGGCGCTGTACTGTCCGCTGGGCGTCATCGCTTCAGCTGATTGGTGGCTAACGTTTGCGTCCGCATGGCAACCGTAACCTGTGTACAAGAAGCGAAGAAGAGGGGAGCCCCATGACAATAAAGCTTTTCGGTTAACATCCAAGACCCCCCCCACCCCCTCCGCCCCCCTCACCCTGCACAAAGAGGAAAAGAGGTGCTGACTGCGACGTGTGTCGGTGTGGCTGCCTGACAGGTGAGGAGCTGGCACGGCTGCGCTGTGATCTGGCGCGGTGTCGAAAATGAATGGCAGTGCTTGAGTTCTGTGTTCCCGCATGCGTGTCCTGTGGAGTGGCTTTGCGTGTAAATGCAGTCGCCAAACGCTGTCAGACTCTCGTAGACAAGGCGTGTCTAGCAACGGGTGAGGTGCTGTGGAAGCTGTCAGATTTGGGCCGCAGACCCTGTTCCAGAACCGGGAGTGGGATGCTGTGTTTTTGTGCAGGGTGGCGAGGGGGGGGGGGGGGGGGGGGGGGGGGGGGGGGGTGTTGCAGGGCGGTGTCAGCGGCTGACTGTCTCTCTTCTTCCTACTACACCGCGCATGGAGGTACAGCCATATGCTGTTGTTTCATGTTCGTGTCCGGTGTTGCAGTATTTAACCAGTCACTGGCCGATTGCATAGAATTACATCCCTGTTTCCTTTATTAGACAGATGCATTACATGCAACCTTAATTCAAATCTCTGTGTTAAAGAAAGCACAATAAACCTCATTGAAGTCATCTTCAAAATAGAGCAATTTTCCATTTTAATTGTATAATAAAGTGTCAACTAGTAAATACAGTCTTATATGGAGTCTTACTCCATTCATCAAAGTACTAATTACAGTAAGGCTTGCTTAAATTGAGTAGAGGATGTATTTTACGGAGAAAATTGTTCTTAAAAATGCAACAAAAATACTTCATGCAAACATTTATTTAGTTTACAAAATTCTTCATGATGTTGCTGCTCCATCCCTAAGAAGGTTTGTCACTCTGAGCTCAGATAAAATGACCAGAGTCACAAGGGCGACCTCCAGAGGTGAGTCCCAAAATATAGAACTTTTTTGAATAAAACTGCCTTCTCTTTTGTTGCCAAATTACATTGTAACGTGTGCTAGTTTCAAAATGTTTGCACAACAGACAAAAAAATATGAGTGTGTGTGTGATTTTAATTTGAACAGTTTGATTGCTTTTAGTGAGATGTAAATCAAAATGTATAGGATATGTATAGAATGTGAAGACATGTAATTAGCTTTCATGCTGGTTTGTCATTAATTCACATTCTATGTTAAATTATTCCTGATAACCATCAGCCTGTCTAGAGACTGGAGGGGAAAATTAGCTTTTTTTTTTTTTACATCCTACTACCATGAATCTTTCCTTTGAAAAGTTCATTGAAATGTTTCACATTATTTATGTGTGAAATTTAAAAAAAAAAAGTTGTAAAGAAAAGCAGCATTCTTTGGTAATTTTGTTATTTCCTGCAGATCATGTGACTGGTTTTGGAGCAACAGAACGTTTCACCAGGCAGCAAACACCATCCAAGTAAATAACAGTTTGAGACTCCTTCTTGATATCTTTAAGGCTAAGCAGACGAAATCTTAAAAGGGATGACTAAATGTAAAACCAGCAGCTAAGCGATCACTTCAGGATCACTTCAAAGCATTAAGTATGCTCTCAAGTTCGTTAAGGTCTTTCTTTTTCCCCAGCTAACTGCTATCTGTCAACACATCTACAAACATGACAGCAGAGGAGGTCATCAGCATCAAGGAGGCCGAGGTGATCAAGCTGATCCTGGACTTCCTGAACTCCAGGAAGCTGCACATCAGCATGCTGGCTTTGGAAAAGGAGAGCGGTGTCATTAATGGACTCTACTCTGATGATATGCTCTTCCTCCGGTAACTACACTCATCCTACAATACAAGTGAAAACTGGAAAGGGTTGTACGTAAGCAGATAGTCAGTGGTAGTTTTATGTAAGACAAACAGAAAGTTGTGCATATTTGGGAAGTGGATGGGGGAAAAAAATGCAAATGAAATAGAACCAATTGCCTTCAGAAGTTTTCTGAGTAGTAAATCCACCTGTCTGAAGTTTGTTTTTATGACTTTAATCAGGCAACTCATTCTGGATGGCCAGTGGGAGGAGGTGATGCAGTTCATTCAACCTTTAGAAGGAATGGAAAAGTTTGACAAGAAAAGGTAAAATAAAATATCTGTCAGATTATTTAGCTACATATTTTGCATCTTTTGTTCCATATCTCTCAACTCTGTGCATTAGAAGGACATTTTAAGCTTTAAGCTAGCAGTCGATGCTGTCATCAGTCCTTTTTCTAATACTTCTCTATTTCTAGGTTTCGATACATCGTCCTAAAGCAGAGGTTCTTGGAAGCTCTGTGTGTCAATAACGCCATATCAGCTACTGAGGATCCGCATAACGTATGTATAAGTTGAATTAGGTTACAGTTTATAGTATAGTAGTAATTCTAAAGATGTCTTTGTAAAACTTTCTCAACAATCTTCAGGTTACCATTCTAAAAGTCTGAATAGCAACTGGTATACACATTAAGGAATGGTTCCTAAGGACGATTCGAATTGTAAAATGTATCTAACCTTATTGAGCCACACAGATATTAATTACATTTACAGTCTTACTGTTTTTCTTCATTGCCTTCCCCTCCACAGCTGGAGCTCACAATGCAGGAGGCTGTGAAGTGCCTCCACTGTCTGGAGGAGTTCTGCCCTACCAAAGAAGACTACAGCAAGCTGTGCCTTCTCCTCACGCTGCCTCGCCTCACCCACCACGCCGAGTTCAAAGACTGGAACCCCAGCTCGGCCCGCGTCCATTGTTTCGAGGAGGCCTGCGCCATGGTGGCCGAGTTCATCCCTGCGGACAGGAAACTGAGTGAGGCGGGCTTCAGGGCGAGCGGGAACCGACTCTTCCAACTGCTCATCAAAGGAATCCTCTACGAGTGCTGTGTAGAGTTCTGCCAGGTATCATGATGTGCTAAAGATAAAATGGACTGCAATTATATTTAACTACATGAGAAAGTACACAATTGAAAATGCATTGCCAGGCTTTTAAGGAAACCATTTGTTTTTTTGTAGTTTTTTTTTTTTTTCTCGTGCAAAGCTGAGGCACATTTTTGTTGATATTTCTGTGTCGTCTAGAGTAAAGCGACAGGTGAGGAGATCAGAGAGGGCGAGGTGTTGCTCGGCGTGGATTTGCTCTGCGGGAACGGATGCGATGAGCTGGATTTGTCACTGCTCTCCTGGCTGCAGAACCTCTCCTCCGGTGCTTTCACCTGCGCCTTCGAACAGAAAACCCTGAACATTCACGTGGACCGCCTGGTGAAACCCAGCAAGGCTGGACATGCCGACCTCCTAACTCCCTTAATCAACCGTCTCTCTCCCTGTCCGACCTCGCCCTTTCGCCAGAGACCTCATTCGGCCGACACGTACATGTCCAGATCCCTCAACCCAGCTCTGGACGGCCTGTCCTACGGACTGGCAGCGCAGGACAAAAGAGGCATGGAGAGCAAAGTGAAATCTGCGCTCAGTAGGAGTCTAGTGGAGAATAACGTGCATCAGCAGGATGACTCACCTGAGAGGTAAAAGCCAACAAAGGATTCAAACCGGTTTGCTGTGCTGGGTTTAGGGGATTAAAAACTCCAAATACAATCATATTAATATACATAATTATGTTCAAATTTAATTATGTAACCGTATATCTTTGTTTAGAATGTTTTATCTGGAGCTACATCTACCAGTTTTATCTGGAGCTACATCTACCAGTTTTATCTGGAGCTACATCTACCAGTTTGTTAGATGTTATCCACAAATAAGCTTTAAACCCAAGAAAAGATCCATAGTGTGTTAAAGCTTGTAAACCCTTTGGAATTAAGTAACTATGCAGTTCACCAACGTTTTTTTCTGACTGATACACATTTCAAGTTTTCTTTCAGGTGTGACCTTCCAGCTCTCTTGTAATTCTTAACAAAATTGGTGACACCCATATTACAGTTTTACATAGTTGTAGGTAAGAGTTCAGGTTCTCCTGTGCTGCTTTTGATTGCAGATATTGTGCACATTTGATACAAAATAATACATCTCAGAATGTGACTTCTGATAAAAACCCGATTAAATTCAAAGCAAATAGGTAAAACAACTTTCAACTATGTTGAAATTTACTAATTTTTAAAAATTTTTTATTTCTTTTTCTGTGTTAAGGAAGCACTCGCAGGGGTTGGATGGGCCCCAGACCGCACGCACTCCTCTGACTCCAGGAAAAGACGGCGGACCACCATGCAGCGCAGACATACTGGAGGTGTGTGTGGTCATAGCTGGTGCAGTTTATGCATTAAGTACATCTTATATTTATGTGGTGAAATTTTGGTACAATCTGGTATTATTAAATACACTCCGTTTACCTAAATCGTGCTGAATGTTATATTTATAATCATGATGTCTTTATGCTTGAAAGATTCAAGTGTTGATGAACATTACATCATGATACGACATCATGAAATTCTTTACTGAGAAAGAAATCCAAAGGTGCTCAGTGTCGGATCAAATATTACGAGGGGATTTTTGTTAGTTTGATTTTTTTTTTCACATGTATTTTCTGCTTTAGGGAGCATTATGTTTTATAAATGTGAAAAATCTCTTTCGAAATCTGAACTTTCACCAAGGGGAGGATGTGTTCAGGGTCATGCGCAGTGCTTAGGACCCCAGCTGCCTTCATATACTTAGTTATTTAATTGTGATCGTACAGTCACAGCTGATTTTCCACATATTTCTGTCCTCTAAAATTAAGTTTTTGTTCTCATCAAACTGGAGTGATCGTTGCAATATCATTTCTAGGTGAGAAAAAAAAAAACTCCACTTCTTAATTATGTACTGATTTGTGTTGATCTTTCACAATGAATCTCTATGAACTTGACATTTGTGGTTGTAACCTAATTCAAAGTGAACTAGTGTAGGGAATTTGAATACTTTTGCAAGGCATGGTGTATTTGGGATCCAATATGAACCCAGACGTGGCATGTTGAGTAAAATCGTAAAGGTGAATGAAAATGTGGTTAATTTTCACCATTTTTGTAATCTTAGGTGAGCATGTGACAGTTTAAAATCTTATTATTTCCAAGACAAGAGGTGATGTAGGCCAACCTTAGCTGCTTCAGCTGAGTTGGTTTTGTGAATTTCATTGGGTCACTCAGTTCAAAGTCAAAGAAGGATCGTCAGTGTGCCTGAAAGCACCGTTGCAGCTTTAAGATATATATAATTAGATCCGTCTACTCGGTGAATGCTCTCAGCTTTTCTACATCATAACTCCACACAAAATTCTTCTTTACTCTTGTTTATTAGATACGTCCCTCTTCACTATGTCTTCTTTAAGAGGTGTAAGTCAGGAGCATCTGAGGCATATAATTGGATTTGATGCATGCTCATACAAACATTGACCCATCGCTCATCTTTATGTATCTCAGTTCCTTGTGGAGAGCAAAGTGAAATTAGATTTTTTTTTTTAATGTATGTATGTGTGTGTGTGTGTGTGTGTGTGTGTGTGTGTGTGTGTGTGTGTGTGCGTGCAGATTGTTGTCATAGGATTAGGGTCTTAAACATCTATTTACGGATTAAGGGATGGAGGGTAAGACCTTGGAAGTTGAAGGGTTAAATAAAACAAAAAGGTTTGTCAAAGGATAATCAATGTTCTACTAGGTTAAGCACAGCACCCGCTGGTCAGTGGTTTTATTTATCACCCAGTGGTTGTGTTTTTACAGCGCCGTGACTCCACAGAGCACATCCAGGAGTACTACAGGCAGCGGCTTCGGGTGCAGCAGCATCTGGAACAGAAGCAGCAGCAAAGACAGCTCTATCAGCAGATGCTGCTGGAGGGAGGTGTGAAGCAGCAGGACGGAGCCCAACACAACCTCACCGAGACGTTCCTTAGCAGGTGGGGGCATCGCACTGAAGCATTCGGTTTGACCGATTAGAGAAAACGTGACATTAGTTCTACCCCAGGACCTGTTGCTTTGTCTAGATCCATTCAGCGGTTGGAGGAGATGAATGTGGGCATCGATCCCAAAGGAGACGAAGTGATGGCACACTTCGGCCAGCAGTGGAATGGGTTGTCAACAAACAGCTGCACCTCCAGCCCCAGGATGGCCGACGTTCACAGCACAGAGAGGGGCCCTGCGAGGAGCAGGTCAGGAGGGGTGAGCAGCACCCCGTTAAACTCTGGGAGCCTCGGCCAGCCGTCACTCAGCGAGTCCCCGGTTACTAAAAGCCGCAGGTAAGAGCCTCTCAAGTGTCTGGTGTAACGTTTACCGTTATTTTATTTTACATTTACAAAAAATGTTCATGTTTAAGGTCAAGATGTGGAATTACATGTTTCATTTAGCATTTTTATACACTATGAAACAGTGGATATTATTAACAGCCTAGAGGAGGCTTCCCTTTTTGTGTCTCTCCTTTTCTTTTTTCAGGCGGTTTTTTTTTTTTTTTCTTTCTTACTTGCTGCTTTCTCACAGTCTCTACCAGTTGTCAAAAATGTTCATTTTGTTTAACATTTCAGTTGAAAGTGTACAAGAAATTTGTACATAAATCAGATTTTAATTTATTTTATTTATTTTTTTTTTCGTATGCAACAGTAGATGTGCAGGCTTAAAATGCAATGCTATATTGTCATTTTCAGTTTGGAAAGAATCAGAGGTTCTGCCGCTGCAGTCCAAGATGACCCTGGCTGCTCCACCATCAGAAACACACACGAGGTAAACCAAATGTCCAATAACTATGGAGAAACTTCCACTCAAAAGCAAAGCTCAAACGCTGAAAGACATTTAGACTCTTGTTGGAACCCGTCGTTATGTTTCTGGTCTTGTTGCAGCATGTGAAGTCCAAAGCCCAGTTTGTGCGGGTGAGTCAGCTTGAGGACACCCAGGCTCTGCGTGCCGTAGCTTTTCATCCATCTGGAGCGCTCTATGCAGTCGGCTCAAACTCCAAAACCCTGAGAGTCTGTGCCTACCCAGACACAGTGACCAGCAGGTGGGCTTTGTTTGCCAAAGCGTGAGACAGTAAAAGAGGACGTAGATTATTATTTGCATTTATAGTTTAACACTGGGTACCTTCACAGTCTGAAGGCCTTGTATGTAAGGAATTTGCTTTTGTTCTTTTCCAGGTCTGGGTAAAATGGATAAAAAGAAAATAGAATCTTAGAAGCATATGAATTTCTAAACAATAAAGTACTTTTCACGTTATTTATATTTCATTTACAACCATTTTCTTTAACCTGCCAGACCTCAGTTGGTGAACTTGATGTGTTTGATTTCACAGGGCCCAACAAATTTATGCGAAATAGAAATTCTGAAATAGATTTTCTATTAAACTTAGTTTCAATAGATACTAGTTACTAAAACCCAGCTATGCCAATTTTCTTCTAAAATATCTTTAAGAAATGAATCTTCAAAACCATGGCATCTTTAACTGAACAACGCTGTTTGTGACTTGGTAAAAATATTGCATAAAGTTCACTATTACACTTTAATATGCAATAAGCTTAAAATATGTAATTTCTCTTTTTCTCCTAAATATTCAACACTGCGGCTAAGGTCACATGTGTCTTTTACTGTTTTGCCACTTTAGCGGTTCCGGTGCAGCCAAACAGCCGTCGGTGCGTTTCAGACGAAACAAACATCACAAAGGCTCAATTTACTGTGTGGCTTGGAGTCACTGTGGACAGCTGCTGGCCACCGGCTCCAACGACAAATATGTTAAGGTTTTGCCCTTCAATGCAGACAGCTGCAATGCCACAGGTACAGTTCAACAGGTTTAGTATTGCTTTTTCTTTTTTTCTGTCTGTATGAGTACAGGTGAAAAAGCCAGTGAAGACAGGAAATTAAATTTCCACTCGCATACGCTGTCTCGCTGCTTAAAAGCAAATGTTTCCATGATTCAGGCCCAGACCTGGAGTTCAGCATGCACGATGGTACCATAAGAGACCTGGCGTTTATGGAGGGTCCTGAGAGCGGGGGATCCATCCTGATCAGTGCCGGGGCTGGAGACTGCAACATTTACACAACAGACTGTCAGAGAGGACAAGGCCTTCATGCCCTGAGCGGACACACAGGTAACCCAGTGGTAAAAACACCACTTTTTATTTTACAACTCTGATATTTTTCAAACCAATTCAAAATTGAAAGTACGGCACCACAAGAGAGTCACAATTAAAAAACAGCTTAGTGCTATTATACCTGAATAGGTCACATTCTGACCGTGTGCACATGGGGCGGCTGGATGATCGCCTCCGGCTCCCAGGATAAAACGGTCCGGTTCTGGGACCTCCGTGTGCCCAGCTGTGTTCGGGTGATTGGCACATCTCTGCATGGATCAGGTGAGTCAAAACACGGACGATCCAGATTTTAACTCAACATTTGATCAGCTGCAGTTCACTAGTCCACACTGCCCAAGCAGTCATATCATTTAAGCCAACCATGTCAAGTTAAATTGTACAGGAAGATATAACCCCCACACCCCCCTCCTTTAACTATTGATCTGTTTTAAACATTTTTTTATATAATATTGAAAAGTCCTTGTGTAGTTAAATAAGAATTCAAGTTTTGTCATTCACATGCTTGGAGTTTATTTTTTATCGTTCATTTATTTTTCTCTAAGCTTGGCACATAAAAAATCAACAACTCCAGCAACCTCCAGTTTATCTCAATAAAAGAAAAAAAAACAATCCAACTCGGCCTCAATTCTTTTTTTTTTTTTTTTTTTTTTTTTTTTTTTTTTCCAAAATGATATATTAGGTATATAGTAGAAACAGGAAGGTTATAATAAACAGCCTGGATGTTTTTAAAAACATACATACCTTAAAATATATGCTTTAAATCAGGCTGAGCCAGTTCTAGGATGTGCTTCCTCCTTGTCGCTCAGGAAGTGCCGTTGCTTCAGTGGCGGTGGACCCCAGCGGCCGCCTGCTGGCCACCGGTCAGGAGGACAGCACCTGCATGTTGTACGACATCCGAGGGGGACGCATAGTTCAGACCTTCCGCCCCCACGGCAGCGACATTCGCTCCGTGCGCTTCTCGCCGGGAGCCCATCATCTCCTCACCGGTTCCTACGACAACAAAATCATCATCAGCGACCTTCAAGGTGCCCATGTCGTTTGTGAGCATAGAAAGAAAACAACAACTTAACAGCACGTGCAGCTAACCCTGACCTTCTGACTCCAGGTGACTTGACGAAGCCGCTCCCTCAGACGCTGGCCGGCGAGCACTTGGACAAGGTGATCCAGTGCAGGTGGCACCCACATGACCAGACGTTCCTCTCCTCGTCTGCCGATCGAACTGTCGTCCTCTGGGCTCTGGGGCCCTGAGAATTTCAAGAAATTAGCTGTTCACAAGAGCGCAGTTTACTCTGTTTAGATCAGCCTCTTTGTGTGTACTGCAGTGATGGTGTTTTGAAGACTTGCTGCACTGAAAGCCACCTGTGTGCATTGGAATGCTACCGCGATACATCGGTGTGATTCTGTCACCGTGGGACACTCTAAAGTCTTTGTGTGTGTGTGTGTGTGTGATGTCACAGGTCAACTGTAGCTAAAGCTGGATCTAAAAATTTTTTTTCAAATGATCAAAGGAAACAAAAATGTATGTGCAGTTGTAATTTGGTCTTAGTGTAAATCCCAAAGCCTCAAAAGTACTATTCATTCTTCTGTTTGCTTGTTATGTTGTGATTGAAAGGATGGATGACATGAAAAAAAAAGAGAAAACTAAGTTCACTTCAAGCACACTTTAAAACTTGCTTTAGTTCTTTAACAATGCACTGAAATATTTTATCAATATTTTGTCAAATTGATGGGAAAAAAAAGAATAGTAATATAAAGAATTTACCTTTTGTTGCAACATTGCACAGCGTTTCACAGCTCATCAAAGCACAGCGATGTCAGTGGTTTCCATGGAAATCAGTCTCTGTACTCAACATTGCGAAAGGAAGCAACATTTAGTTTTATGCATTTCATAACGTGCCTTTATTAAACATGTGCAGAGAGTTAGCTTTCCTTTCTGATTGCTTTTCTATGCCAGGTCAAAGTAAATATTTTAAACATGTTATCAATGCAGAAAATTAGAAGCAGCATTTTGACTGTGCACATATATATGTAAAATAAACGATTGCCATGTTATCGTTAAAGTTTTTTTTTTATTAATTAGGACATGAAGACTGAAAATGTGACTTATCCTGTTTTATTTTGGTTATCAATAAAATGGAAAGTTAATGTGTTTCGGAACAAATTTTGTCATCGAGGCAGCAACATCACTGAACTAAAGGTTTTTCTTCATCCCACAGGGTGTTTATAAGCTGATGCTGTAAGACTTGAAGATCATTTTTGAAAACTGGTGATAAGAAAACTAACAATGGGATGCATTGTTAGTTAACTAACATTGTTAGTTAACTGCATTGTTAGCATTGTTAGTTAACTGCATTGTTAACTCAGCCCAACCCGAGTTCTGGCCTCATGACCCCCACTGCAGGTCTTTCTCCTCTCACAACCCACTTTCCTGTCTGGCAACTGTTAAATAAAACCCACTAGACCAGTCAAACTTATCTAAAAAAAAAAAAAAACTAAACTGCTTTCAACAATGAAGACTCCAGTCAATGAAGACTGGGGTCAAAACACTTCACCAGTGGGTCAGAACTTCTAATCAAATGTTGCGTTGTTCATATTTTTATTTTTAAGAAGCAGCATTTAAATTACCCACTGCACACATTTCAGAATAAAATACAATGCAGCCAGAAAAGCAAACTGAAAAGTTTGATTTAGAAAGATAATTCACAACTTTAAGTCGTTTTGCCAACATAAACATTTTCATTTTTGCAGCATGAAGTTCAGTAAAACTAGTTTCTAGCAAGTCAAGAACAGAATAACCTTCATTGATGTGAATACCTTTTTTTTTGTTTTTTAGGTTGGGTATGGGTTTTAGTTGGGTTTATCTTCTGGTGATACAAGTAAAGGAACAACAAAAGTGAAATAGGATTATACATGTTGCCTGTGGATAAATTAAAACTTCACAAAAGAGTTGGGTGAACTAATTATATAAAAGCAGCATTTTGTATTTGTGTCTTTTCCCGCACCGTGTATGACCCATGCATTCATTTTCCAGCGCATCATTTTCTTCCCTTTTTTCCTGCAATAAAAGGATCAAGCATGGCACAGTATGGACAGTGGGCTGATGGAGTGATGAAGGTTAAAGGGTAGAGAGGAGGGCCAGAGAGGGATTTACTCTCACACACACGCTGCACTCGATGATTCACTCTTTTGTGAGATGGACAATGAGGGCCTGAGGTCCAGGGCTTAAAAAGGAAAGGCACACCGTTTAACAGCCAGCGACTCTGGACACAGGCTGGCCAAACTAAAGGTAAAACCTGGAATCATACACAATTATATGCATTTATGATACAACCAGGAAGGATTAGAAACTTAAAGAGCAAAATCAGAGAGGCTGAGAACTACAAAGACACAGAGGAGATGGTGTCTGAAGAAGTTCATTTTCTATAATTGAAAAAAAATATATATATCATTACAAGCTTTACTGCATGTTTCCATTTGCGTTAATATTAGAAATGCTGCACACATTTTTAAATTAAGGTATGCTTGCCCGTTTTGGACACAATCAGAGCATTTTGGCCACTTTAAAGAGATGCATTGGGGAGTGTATAAAAATAACTTGTTTTCGGGTTTTGTTGCAGTGCTGACAGTTCACTTGCTGTGTACTAGAAAATTATTTTGTGGTGTGCGGAGGGGAATTAGAGAGGAACAATAGCTTGGAACTGCCTGATAGGCAAGCCTATTGTCTGACAGCCATTTGAGTCAAGTGCTTTTTCTGGCTCCAACCAATTTCACCACGCTCTGGAGGATCACTCTGCTGTGTGTGTCATGTGGATTTGCTTTCTCTTTTTTTTTTTTTTGGAAAGTTCTAAGCTTTAATTTAGCTCATAAAAAATTTGATCTTTCTAACATCACTGCAATGCATGTAACAGTGTCCAAGAAAGCCTAATAGAGCAAGCTTAATCGATATAAACGACAGACTTGAAGAGATGCCCTTAATAAAAACATTTTTTACTAGTAAAAAGCTAATAAAACTTCATAAATAATCTCCCATCTTCCCTCTCCTCTCCTCTCTGCTGGACGTTTAGGCTTCACAATGCTGTACACCTTAGCAGGAGGAGGCACCCTGTGCGGTGTGGCCGCCCTGGTGCTCCTCATCGTTTCTACGGCAACAGATTTCTGGATGCAATATCGCTACTCGGGCAGCTCAGCCAATCAGGGACTTTGGAGGTTCTGCATTAACCACAAATGCCACGCCCACACCATAACCGTAGGTATGTGCTTCAAAAGATGTTTGCAAATCAGCTTCCCAGAGGTTGCATTTACATAGTTTCCACTTTAAGTTGTTATTGCTAATTCGTTTTACAGAAGCTAAAATTAATGGAGACAACTTAGTTGCGACACTGAAAAAGTGTAATTATTTGCATTTCTGTGCCCTTTTCTCGAAGACTGATTGTTGTCTTTGCATTTCCAGCCTTCTGGGACGCCACCCGGGCCTTCATGCTTCTGGCCGTGCTGAGTTGTTTTGCTGGTACTGTGCTCGGCCTTAGCGCCTTCACTAATGGCACCAAGAACAGGAGGGTCCGGACCGGAGGCATCGCTCTGGTCCTGTCAGGTACTGTAAGGACTTTTACAGCTGGAAAACAATTGCTTTCCACTGCTCGGTTGTTGTTTCGATAGGTTAGAACAAAAAGTCTGACGTAGACAGAGGACTTTGCTCTTTCAGCCAATCACAAAGTGAAAAGGCAAATATTTTTAAGAGGCTTGAAAGAGCTACTCTCCTAGCTAATCACTGATAAGCGAAACAAAGAGGCATCTCTGAAATTCCAACAAAGGCTATAGTTTACATTTTCTCTCTCTTTTCTTCTCTGTTGAAGGTTTTCTTGCTCTTCTGGCTTTAGCTGTTTACACAGGAGTGACCGTCACCTTCTTTGGCAAACGCTTCCTGGACTGGCGCTTTTCCTGGTCCTACATTATTGGCTGGGTGGCTGTGATTTTGGCCTTCGCAGCAGGTTTTCACTTCTTATAGTTTTTGACTCGAAAAGAATATATGTGTTCTCAAATCTCTATGTATTTACTAATTTCAAGTTCGAACTCCATAGTGCAGAGATGCTTTACAGCATTTATAGCAGGAGAAAACAGTTTCCATTTTAATAAAACAAAAATGGCTCACCATCTAGTAGGTTTTCTCGGAAATAAGATATGCATTTTAAAAGTAAAACCATTGAACATCATTTACATGACGTGTTCACGCATTAACAGTGACTAACCAAACTTCTTTGGAAACGTTTCCTGTAATCCTAAAATACACAAAGTTGTATAGGACTTTTGCATGCCAAACTTTAATGATATACTTTATGATAAATGTGATTATTAATAGAGGATGCCTCTCATTCGTTCTAGGTGTGTTTCAGCTCTGTGCGTACCGCCAGACCTCTGAAGAGCCTGCTCCGTCCAATAACCCGGACAGCTGAACAGGATAAACGCACAGATGGTCCTTCAGACTGTTGGACCGAACATCATTGCGGAATTTGCTTCTAAAATATGAAATAAAATAAATATATCATAGAATAGTGCATTCTCTGCAGCTAGATGTAGTTGAGCCACGAACTGTTGACCAAACATGCCAGAAGTCAGACAGCTGTAAATGCAGTATTAGTCTGACATTTTTCCTGTGTTCCACAAGAATGTGGTTTTGAAACTAAATTGTTGAAAATCAGATGCAACATTCCAACATTCTTACAAGGATAATTTAGGCTTTAACATTTTTTGGTTTCAGTAAATGCTAGAATTTACAATGCAAACCCTTTTCACATGTCATCACTGTAAAACCACACAGTTCATCGTATTTAATTAGGCTTTTACAAGACAGAAGATACCTAGCTAATACCTAGAAACATATGTGAAAAGTTTGATGTGATATATCCTTCTTTCCAACACCTTTTGTTGGAAAAAAGAAAAATGCTTAAGAAGCCATGTAGTTTGCCAGGACACGTGCATCATGCTGTGGAAATGCTTTTCTACCTGAGGACAAGGAATCTGGTCCATGTTGATGGATAGACTGATGAATTTAAATACAGGACAAAGCTGGGGAGAGAAGTGGGACAACGGTCCAGCAAGAGAGTTACAAGGGATCGTGTTAGGTCAGTGGTGTCCAAAGCATGGGAATTATTTTGTGTGTGCCCAAAATAGCACAACTTTGAGGCACTGCTACAGGAAGGTGATGCAAATAAACTCTTAAAAAAAAAAAAAAAAAGGGCATTTCAGAAAACATGCTGGCAAACTAGAAGCGTCCTATAGTATAGTGGACAGTAAAAATTTTTGTACAATTAGTAAGCCTGTTTAATGCTTTCACTTTATATGATTAAAAAGTACATTAATTTACCAAACAGTAGGTAAAAACAAAAAATAACTCATTTTGTGGCAGAGTGGTGTGACAGTTTTGGTTCTTGTGGCAAAAGGTTCGGAGACTGATGGATATAAAATCATGTTCAAATGTTAGAGTGGCCCAGTTACCGTCCATCCACACCAATGAGAATCTGTGAGGAGACTTAAAAAGATTTCTGCTTAAAACACACACAGAGATTAGGCCAGTTTGCAATATTTTCAGTCTCTCTACATGTTCAAAGCAGGTAGAAACAGCACAAAAGCCTTGCACCTATATTTGGAACAAAAGCTTTTCTACCAAATATCAACTAAAATGTGTACCATGCTTTTTTTTTTTAAGTGTCTAATTGACAAAATGGGATAAAGTAATGAGTACATTTAAAATGTGAAGTACTATGGTTGAATGAGATGTTTACTTTTTGTTTCACAAATTTACCTGTATCCCCTTAACGTTCAGGGACAATGTTCATACACTTTCAAAAAATTAAAACGCAAATACACCAAACTTTACTTTCAAATATCCGTTTTATTTTTAACAGTACAAAGCAATCTCACAGAGACTACTTTAAATTACACATAATGCAAATAAATATATATAGAGAGCCAAACTAGAATTAAGGACATCAACATTTGGTACAAAATTATTTACAACACTCTGAATAGTGCAAAAAAAATCACACAAAAACCGCCCGAGTCTTGAAATGGATCATTTGAGGACAGTGGTTGTGCATGCTTCCCCCTGGTGGGGGAATACAATAACTGACAGTAATGCATATGGCATGGCAAAAAAAAAAAAAAACATCTGTTGAACATTTAGAGGACTCTCCATGAGGATGCAGCACAGGTTGAAAGCGCTCACTGCTCCTACAAAGAAAGAGGCTCCAAAAGAACGGTGGTGTTAAAATGTGGTACTGATACGATTCGAGTTAAAAATAAGAAATTTGAGAAAGGAAAGAAACATTACGAGTTGAACGCCAGGATTTCTCAGTTAAAATCAAATGAGATCAATTTATAGTTAAAGGGGTTACTGAAGAGCTAAAGATGTGCAAACCGTGAAAACCATCATTAGCACTACATAATGAAATGTCAAGCTGTAGCGACTAAAACCACATGGCAGGAAGAGCCCCACCAACCCTGAGTGAAATCAATTTAAAATAATTCTTAGCACCATCAAACACCGCAGAACGCCAGCTTTGCCATTTCAGTCCAACCAAGGTGTCTGGGGTTGCGACAGGCACAATGTATGTCTTTTTTAAAGTGCGCTTGCTTATTTGAGGAGTTCCTCTCACTTCTTACTTTTCTATTATTGGACTGTTTCTCCCCCCCACAAACAATTCTTCACTTAAAAACTTCACACAAACATAAGTTACATTTTTCCCCATGCATATTAATTTGTTGCAAATTGAAATTTCTTTTCCGGACCACATTTCTTTTGCATTTGAAAGCTCGGACCTTACAGTGTTAAGTGGTTACTACGCGTCCCTCTGGTGACCAGAGCAAGAATGCATATACAGTAATCAGTCAAGTGTCAATAACTGCAGACGCATGCATTAGAAATACATTACTGGTTATTTGGTCTTCAAGAAGCACGAACAAAAAGCTAGTTTTGCATGAAGACGCTACAACAACTAAACGTCTGAACCAGAGATTTGAATCCGCTCTCGAAGACCAAAATCTACGCCTTTTGGACAACTTAGTGTCCAGTTGTGCTGAGTATTTGTGCATTGAAGATGCATTCATCCAGAGCATTGATCGTTTAACATGTTTAAATCATGCCAAAAAACGAAGAAAGTATAACTGCAATCATGGCGGATTGAGAGAAAGGATAAGACCATCAGGAAATGATTATGCCTCTGTGGGCTGATCTGCGTTAAATATTTTTCTTTAAAAAAAAATAAAAAATCATCATTTCAACCCACAGCCAATGAGAAAGAACAATTTAAAGTACCCAAAACTTGCTCAATGTAGAGACAGACAGGACTGAGTTTACAGCTGATGAAAGAGATAGAAAACTTTTCTCTGTGCACTCATGCAAAAGATGTGCACTTTGTGCATCTTTGGCTATGCATAGCGCTACGTCTCCAGTGTTGAAGTGCAGCAAAAAGCACTACAGCAGGCTAATGCTGATCAGTATAGCCCTATTCAGATTGCATGCTCAGGGAGAACAGGACAATGGGTGACAGATTCACAGATGTCGAAAAGTTTCTGAAAGCAAAGTGCCATCTGACTTGGCTAGTGTGGCACTTTGCTGAGTTTGAGCCATTGTGGCTTTGGTTTTTTAAACAACTGGCACACTGCAACCAGGCAGCGTGAGTATTTATTTGGCTTGGCTCTGTGTGATGAGGCTGCAACACGCCCGTTTATTTACTGCACTTGGAGGAAGAAGAGCTGTTTCAAGTTAGCGACTCTGAAATTGCACGAGGTTGCTGCTCTTCCTCTACATAACAGCGCCGGCCATGTTGGGGAGCAGAGTCCGAGTACGTTAAAGTTGGCCCTTCAGGTTCAGCTGCAGAGAGGCTGAAATCATCTTCCAATCACAAGTCCGCCCGTCCCTCCTCCCGTCGCTGAGGATTATGTGTTTTTGTTATACCTGTCGAGACAAAAAAGAAACGGTTAAAGACAGAAAACAAACGACAAACTTCTCGAAGAATCTGTTGAGTTATGAACTATTTATAGTAGACAGAATTACTTTTTTTACTATTGCTATGTGATGCATTTCCTTCTTCCTCGTTTATAGGGCGTGTTCATTTAGTTGTGAATTTGGCACTTAATTTTGTGGACCAAGGATTTAAAATATCTGAAAACTGATTATAAGATCTTGCATTGTTGAGACAACAGGGTAAAAACCACAAACTTGTGTGAAAGAAAAAAAAAAACAAAAACGGTAACTCCCCACTAGGTGGCAGTATTACACCCAATATAGAAAAGCACCTAGAAGGAGTGTGATGACTTGTGAGAACTTGAGGATTTTTTGTTGTTGTCAATTTCGCATTAGTATCCAAGTGTTTGAGTGGCATTATTGTTTAAACTGGATATCAATTACTTGCTTCTCACACTGAAATAAAGACCGAGATGAAAAGAGACCTCCTACCCGCTCTGTAAGGTGAACTCTGGCAGAGCACCGAGGGACGTAAGCTGTTCCTCCAGAGCCACGATACGGAGACCGATGTAACCCGAAGACAGCAGCAGCAGCACCACCCTGCAACACACACACACAGATTTAGACTAGTTCTTCAATGCTTAGACCCATTAACGTCAAACAAGTAATGATCTAAGCAGTTTTAAAGACTGCTTAGAACTTTAAATAACGTTTATGTGACATTATTTACATAAACGTCACAGAATGACATAACAGGTTTTTCTGTTTAAATTATTTGAGATAATCAGGTCTATCCGCGCAAGACAATGGAAAGTCTCATGCTTTCCTTTGTGGAATGCAACTTCAGCACCAGTAGATAAGAGATTAGCAAACAGGAGAGGGTGGTGGGGGGGACGTACTAAAGAAGAAAGGTGTCACTTACAAAATCAAGTAAATAAAGAGAAGAGTGTTGAGGGTGCTGAACTCTCTCTGAACCAGCAGAGACTTGGCTTTTTCAGTCACATTCCACATCCACGATCCACCTAAAAATACAAGTCAACAGCGTAAATATTACAGCTCACTTTCACTTTCCAATTCTGGTTTTTCCTATGCTCATTACTGAATTTGTTTTTTTTTTTTGCCTATTTGTTACACTCTGTGTCCATTACCTGACTCGGAGAGCTCCTCTGTGGATGAGCTGTCAGTCTGCGGACTGCTGAAACCTGAACCGTTTCCATGAGGCACTGCTTCTACTGGAAGGACAGATAAGAGAAGGAGGAATGGCTGTTAAAACCACTAGCAGACCTTGAACTTTGCACGTCTAGAATAAAATTAGAACATGGTAACTGTAGCACAGCAAGTGTTGTTTATAATGAACTCCAATTTAGGGAACAAAAGATTTTAACTACTTTAATATGGTCATAATGTGTTAAGTCAAACATCCTACCTCGGTGAGCTCTCTGCAGAGGCTGGTTCTGTAAGGACTGAGTTTCAGAACCATCCAAGCTGTCGTCCAAGCTGGACTGGCTGGAGTTCTGCACACAAAGAACCAGGACATCAGAAACAAGTAGCATTGCACATTAAAGAGCACTTATTTTAAAGTTTCTAACGTCAGACAAACTGATTACAGTTTTCTTACCACGTGTTTGCTTTTGTCAAAGCTGTTTTCGCCTGAGGAAAAGCGAGGGCTACTGTTGGTGCTGCCGTCCTGGAAAAGAAGATGCAGAGACGACTTGAAAACGATTCCCACAAACTATGGGCCTCCAACATTTTATGAAAAGAAACACAAAGAGAGCTCAAACAGTAAAGCCGACACCTGCTTTCATTTGTAACGCTGTACTTTTATAAAACCCGGTTCCCGACATTCAGACTTCATAACAAGAGAAAGTCCAATATATTGCAACACTTTCACCATAATAGTGAAGCACTTCAAAGTTTTTCTCAACAGCCTGACACAATTTGACTGTAACGCCATCAGTCTTTCTATAGTGACCCTAACTGTGGTTCCACATTTTACTCAGCTGCTGCAATTCTGGGTTTATTTTGTAGTTTGACCCGACTCACCTCTATCTGAGGGCAGACGGAGCGAAGCAGCTGGTAACACGATTCCCTGTTCCTCAGCGACACAAAGACGTACTAAACAATAAGAAAAACACAAAGGAGGGAGGATTATTAGCCACTGGCTTAATGGTAAAAATCCAATAGTGAAACACACCCTGTTGACTTAACTTTTGAAGCAATATTAATGTTGCTAGACAACATCTCATTTCATTCCAAACATGATAAAACTCAATTTGCTTCATGAATGTTACAATTGCAGATAGTCAAAGATGTTAGACGGACCTTCTCTCCATCTGAGGTACGAAGAGACAAGGCGTTGGGTACCAGCAGAGCCGTTTTCTGTTTCTTCACTGTGTGGATGGAGGAAACCGGAATGACAACCTGCAAGAAAAACAATAAAACCCAAGACGTCAGTCAAGTCAAACATTGCTTTTAACACAGCGACATGCCAAGTCGGCAGAGAGGCCTACCTTAGTGTCCTTCAGCAGAACTGAGGAAAAGAAACAGGCGTGGGTGTCGGTGATGTAGAGGCGACCGTGATACGGCACTTCTCTCTGCAGAGCACAGATGTATGCTGGGAGGAAAAGTGGAGAACAGATTTTCAGTTTCACACATGCATTTGATTTTATTTGATGTTTTCCTGTCATTTTCCCTGTACCTACCATGCATCAAGTCTTCTTCCTCAGGAATGTCTGGAAACAACTTGTGGAATGTTTTGTTGTGCTTTGTGAAACTCTGAAAATGAGAAAAGGTTTGTCTTTGAAATTTTAAGCGTAGAATGCATTTTCTTCCCAACAGGAAGATGAAGTACATCAGCATGGGCTTACACTTTGCCTGCCGGTGCTTTCTGTTCTCTCGAAGCCTTTGTTGTCACCATCAAATGTCTCCGATCTGAAGAGAAGGAAAATAAATAAATAAATAAATCGGTTTGAGGTATGATGTTAAGATAATAAATGCAAAACATCCTTTTCATCCCAATGAACCGGGGATTAGTTGTCGCTGCGTACAGACGGTCAACTGACTGAAGGAAAGGTTCCTATGCTTTCTCTTTGCATACAGGGCAAATTGAGAACAGTTGAGAACGTTCTGGTTGCAAAAATAAATCATTGTGTGGAAACTAAAGGAGTGGAGGATCAGTTATCAATCTAATCAAAGGTACTCCTGTTAGGTCAACTCTCTAGCAGCATGCCAGCTGCAGTCTTCTAACTAAAGTAGATACTTAGTGATACTTTAGCACAGATGAAAATCAAAGCAGATATATTTTGTAAAAAAAAAAAAAGATATGTAAAAAAAAAAGTTACTTTTTTTAAATTTAGTGTGCAAAGATGTAAATAAGTGTTATAAATAGCATTATTTTTACTGCAATAATTACCTACATTTTAAATAAAATTGTTTGGATCATATTTCACATTTTGTTTGTAAATATTGTATTTTTACTCAAGGTCAGTTTAGCATGAGAATCCGAGCCGCGTCTGCTTGAGACGGCTGTGCAGTCACACTCATGTCTTGTGATTCATGGTGTGAGTAGTGGAAAATATCTACATCTCCTCTTATAATCAGGATGGAAAAGTTATTTATTGGTTGTCAAATTAAGAAGAATTTAACAGCTTTAGAATGTTAAAAATCTGATTTATGCCTCCAAGAGTCAACTTAAAGCACTTTTATATGTAAAATTAAGGTGATTTGTTCATGAATAGCAGATACTTTCATAAAATAGTCATTAAAAGGATTTTTTTAAAGAGTTTCTATTTAAAAAAATTACCTACACTTATTGACTTAAGTGTAGGTCAAAAATGGAGAATCAAGATTTCTCGATGAATCCTACCTGATGGCAATTTGTCTGCTGACGGTTTTGTGCTGCTGCTGGAGCTCGAGCTGAGCAGTCTCTAAACTCAAGGCTTTCTTCGCCTCGGTCTTCTTGATGGCGCCATTGCTCTGGCTGTTCCTGCTTTTCTTGGCTTTGGCTGGCAGCCCGCCACTCTCCACTGGGTAGCTGCTGGATATGGGAAAAAGCACAGATTAGTATATATTTACACCACACATATCTTCATAGAAATAAAAATAGCACAGTAAGTGTCTATGGGAGAGTAACTGAGGACAGGCATGCCACAGCATGATAACTTGCATGTTCACAACCCTGCGACACACAAGTTGGAACACGAGTCTAACATCATTACGCCCTTTTGCAGAGAAGAAAATATTCTCATTTAAACTTTAGCCTTTTTTTTATTTAAAATGAAAACCACCACCCAGACATTTAAGCCACAAACATCAACATATTTTTTTTTCTTTTTCAACCACCACGTCGGTCTCTTAACCAACTCTGGTCTGATTTTGCTTTACAGTCGTACAACAAGCTTATTACCCATCCACCTCGTTCTGAACACAGAGGACACATAACTCCTGTTTGACAGATGACAGATTTATCTTTACAATGAGCTGGAAATGGTCATCCTCTCTCTTAATGAAAAATTTTATAGACACACATTGCGTCAGCACTCAAACGGGCGTACTGGCTGCTTTCCAAGCTGTTAAGTTGGAAAAACTTGAAGTGGAAAAAAAAGTGCTATAAAAGCGAGGCTGCTGGATATACAAAAGTCAATAAATTTTTTAAGGCCATGGCCTGTCCTTGACCAGAGGAACACACGAAGTAGAAATACAGCACGACTATGTGGTCAGCTGAATGACAATGTATTGAATTCATAAACCGCATTTAAGCTACGATGAAAGAAAAACCATGACGCTATCAAAATAAAAATATATACAAGGAAGAATTTGTCACAAAGATGAAAACAAAAGAGAAAATTTAATTTCAATACTACAAAATCTGACTTACCTGCTAACTTTCAATCGCTTTGATGAACGAAAACTCATATACCTACTAACAGTAGGCATTTCCTGTTCTTCCAGATGGTTAGAAAAGAAACCTCTCCTACCCACTGCTGTTAACTCCAACAAATGTAAGCTAAACTTATAAGATGAAAAGATAGATTTTAAGCCCTCTGTGTAACAAAGTTACGAAACCAATTATCTCCTACGCCACGTCCTGCCAGACACCCCTACAGCTGTGTTGTGCTAGTTCAAAGGCAGCCACTTTGTGTTGAGGGTGGTGTGACACTCCGTAGCTGACTGACGTCAAACCCAGACACTCCCCCAAAGCTAAAGGAAGCATGAAAAACACCAGCCAATAAACAGAGCCCAAAGTGCCGTCTCTCCTCCCTCTCTTACATGCAATGAATGCAGAGAAGCCATTGACATACAAGAGGATTAGAGAATCCCACCCACAGGCACATTTCCTACCTCAAGTAATGTCTTGATCTAAGCAGGATGAGAACAATCTCTGTTATCGAGCAAGTGAATTATTCAAACACTTTAAGCCAAAAGAGATGAATTACCCTCATCTTGTGAGTGAATCCAAATTCAAATGCGTTCCTTCAACTGACTGTAGCTAAGATCTTGTTAAATAAGCCTGATCAACTACTAAAAGTTGTGTTTATTTATTTTTAACATTAAAAATGTAACAGTAAAAATATTTTCCACCAGCCTCAATAGCCGCAGTCCTGCTCGACAACTCTTGTGCCTCTGTCACTTAAAAGCAAAAGAACTGGAAACAAATTCAGTGCTCAACATATTGTAAGACATTCAGTGAAACTTGTTTCACAGCTCTTAAATGGAAAATATGTGACAAAGGACGAGGAAGGAGGCTCTTGTTATGCAACTTTTGATAAAGCTCTACCAAGTGAAACTAGTTGTGGGAAACAATTAAATGAGCTTTAAAGAATATTTCAAATGCTTCTGGCTACATCGCATTTCTAAGCAGCCACTTTGAGCAATCCTCCCCTTTCCCCTACAGTCTCAGTGTGAGTAAGCTGCTGTTAGTCAAGTTCCAACAAAAACGCCACACTAAACAATTAAGTAATCAGTGTTTAAGTTACTGTTAGCTAGTTGTATGCGATTGGATATTACCGCCTGACCCATTTCTGCTAAACAGAGGAGCTTGAAGCACAGAGGCTCATGGACTGTACTCCAATCAGCTGTGTAGTAATTTTCTCTATCAGTCAGAACTAACAGTTGTTTCTTGATGCAAGAAAATAATGTGCCTGATTCCAAGATGCTCTACAATTGTGGGTTAAAGTGTCACAAAGTCATGTTACAGTTTCTAATGGCATTTTTCATCTCTTTAGAGTTCAATATTAAAACTCCTTGAATGAAAAACTAGTAAAAAACAAAACAATATAGGTTGAGCTTGTGGCATTAAACATTTCATAATAATGAAGCCACCTTCCTCGAACAAATAGATTCAAGCAATCAAATTTTACATAAAGGCCGTTTCTAATTTCAGTTTTTCTTAAAGGGATTTTAATTTTGACACATTCACTTCCAGCTAAAAAAAAAAAAAGTACTTAAGTTTATTCTGCTGGTTTATGAGACCAAAGAGTTGAAATGAGGAGAGATATTAATTTATACATTTCATAAGAAAGGAAACATAATCATTTTAAAATGTTTAACCTGTTGATCAGAGACAATCAAGGTGAAAATCTCATTCCAATTTCTTGCTGGTTGACTGAAGCGTCACTAAATGTGTGTTTATCAACTGTATGAATGTGACAGTAAAGAGCTGGTACACCAAACCATATATTTACGGCGAACATTAAAATCTACAAACGCTGAGTAATGCGAGATTGCTTTTGAAGTCAAACACTGCTAGCTGTTGCAGTGAGAATGCAAAAACCACATCCTGCAACATTCAGCTACTTCACAATGTGTTACATGATTATGTGCTCTACATTTATATAAAGTTTGATTTAAAGATGATCAATCTAAGACGAATAATGAGGTTTTAATAAATGCTGCTTGATGAACACACACACACACACACAAAAAAAAAAGGTGTGGGGGCAATTCATGTTATCCAATCAGAAAATGTTTGTACATTTTGTAACAAGGAAGAAATTACAGAAGCCATTCACAACTTGGTTGCGTGTCAGCAATCCAAAAAAAAAAAATAAAAAAAAAACACACCTACGTGGAAGTCAGAAGCATGAAACAACCCGTGCTATACATAAGACTGGTGTCATTTAATTACCACTTTACATTTGCAAAGCAGGAGGAGACCCATAAGGGGTGGATCTGCTTCATGCTGGGAAATTACCCTTTGACCTACTTCCCTAAAGTACCAACCCACACCGCCTAGTTTAAAAAATAAAACCCCATTAACAATCCAGACTTGTTTTATTTCCACTTCAAAATAAAAAAAAATGTACTCATAAAAAAGGATATCCAGAAAAAAAGTTGAAGATTACAATTAAGATAGAACTGCTTGTATACAAAAAGTACAATTTATCTTGTGTCGAACACAAAATCCTGACATCATGTTGAGTTCTCATATTATCACTAAAAGAACACATTAGTTGGGATCATTTATTTGCATTTGTTCTGGTAACATCTTAGGAAACAAAACATAGCCAACAACAGATAGTTAATATTATTACTCGGAGATTATCTACTGGGTTATGTAAACAAAAGATTACAAAAGTAAAAAACTGAAAAAGAATGAAAAAAATAAATAACATAAAAACAGCCTTCCGTTTCCTTCAATGTCCTCAAATATCAAAAAGCCCTCAAGACATGTCACCTGTCCATTCTGATAGTTTCTAACGTTAGTCAGAGACCAATAATAAGGATTTGACTTACCCATTTAAATCTTGAGGACAATTAGAATCATCCAAAGTGGTTTGTTCACTTGGCAAATCTTTTTTCTCCATACCCAACTTTCCACCCGTTCTTCCACGATCGTAAAAGTCTGCTGCCTCGTTCGGCCTCAAGCAACTCAATGACAGTATCCCAGCACCTTTATACGTGTACGCTCAATATCTATCTAAGTAGAGTAAAGGTCTGGTTTATTGCGACCTTTGAAAGGAAGTGGACACTAAGCATGAAGATAAAGCCAATGTCAGGAAAAGACGTCAGGACAACACCCTAGTAAAAAGAGAATTATTCTGTTTCAAACCCCAAAAATACACTCTCAGCCATGGTCTTTGTCGAATTAAGCCGTGTTGTCGTGGAAACACTCAGTGTGAGAGAGTTGGTGGAAATGTGGGGGTTGAAAGCAACATTGTAGAGTTGTCTTCAGGTTGGAATACTAAGCTACACAATTCAATACCCTGTGCTCATTAGCAACATGATGGGGGCCCTGGCTACAGCGAGGGCAATATGCACAACAATAGCTAACTTAGTCCCAGTTCCATTAGTGAATAGGGCCATGGAGAACTATTAGAGGCCATAGAGCACAAGCGCCACAGTCTTAAGTTTAACAAAAAAAGGAAAAACTCCAAAGAGTACCACCCATGTCTCAATATATGAAAATTACCTCCTCTTATACGGCTTTTTTCTGTGAATGTGACATAATCAAAGGTCTGAAGGCACTCGTCACATCAGTCTACATTAGTCATCATATATCACTTACTTCACTCACCCTGTCTCAACATTACTTGCCACATTTCTAGTGCAAACATGTGACAATCACCTACGGGATTAGCACTGTCGAAGTCAGAAATAGATTGAACACAATAAAAACATTAGAAATGTTCCTGAGGCCTTTTAAAGCATATAGCCATCTGTTCAACATACAAAGACTGCAAAACCAGTCTAAGGCTGCATGCCATTTATTTAAACAAATGAGAAAAGGATAATGTTTTATCTTTCAACCACCCTATACAAAGGCCTCAATAGATAAAACATCATGCATTTGTGCAATCTGAAAGACAGTCAAAAGTAAACAACTGTTTAACGAGGGAACAGTTGTCCTGAGAGGGTAAATATGTGCGTCAATGTTGGACAAAGGGTCATGCTTAAATTTTCCTGAAGAGCCCAACAGTGAGCTATGACGAGACGCTGCATAACTTGTTCTCTTGGTAAATTTAGGCTGCATAGAACAGTTCGTACCAATAAAACATATGTTTGCAATGTGGGCTCATACTGCTTATTCAAACACTT